CTATGGTCCCACTAATAGCGTAGCTCCAACACACACCACCCACATTTCCTCTATTCGCTTCGACAAAGGGCTCATGCTCAAAACCTCAGCTTTAGAAACTCTTTACGGTGGCCGATTTGCATTATTAACTGAGTTGATAAAATCAATTAATCCTGCAATACCCTCCTTCCTCCCCCCCCCCCCCTCCCTCCACCGACGCAGCACCACAGTTTCTTAAGAAACTTGCTCCTTTTATCAATGAACCTCTTTTAGATTGGTATCGTGGGTCGCACTGGAGCTGGAAAGTCAACTCTTACTTTAGCATTGTTTCGTATTCTCGAGAGAGCTGGTGGACGGATTCTTATCGATGGAGTTGATATCTCCAAGATTGGACTGCAGGATCTGCGGTCACGACTCACCATCATTCCCCAGGTAATGAAGCCCATCTGAAAAATTGAAAATTGAAGAGAGCTTGAAATGATCAATATTTATGGTGCTCTTGTCCTAACCTACAACATGACGAATCCGAAGTTTTAATTTAAAGTCATTCCGTCCGTATTTTTGGGACAGCATGAGAGCTGAATTTTACAGCCGGTATTTGGTCACTTTCACATATTAACTGCAAAAAAAAAAATTAAAAAATATGAGATCTATTTATCTCCCATTTAACTCTACCTCTTTAATTCTATTTAACTGCAAAAACCACATGCTCTATGATTCTCTCCTACTGGCCAAAAGCAGCCCTCAAGAGTACTGAGGGGAACAAGAAAGATAGATTCCAGTTTAAAATTTATATTTGTGTATCTGCATTACTAAGAATTATCAACAGTGGCACTGACTTCTTTCGTTTCGTGCCAAGGATCCTGTGTTGTTTTCCGGGACTCTTCGTCTAAACCTGGATCCATTTGACAGCCGCACGGATGAAGAACTCTGGAAAATCCTCGAATTGAGCCATTTGAAGAACTTCGTCTCAGGCTTGGAGGAAGGGCTTCTTTATCCTGTCAGTGAAGAAGGAAGTAACCTAAGGTATAACAAAGATTAGTTTACCCTAACATAACCTTGATCAGGTTTCTTGAGGGAAAGCAGATGGAGGAAAAAATTTCTGCTTTTTCTTACTTTTCGAACAAATAGACACAAGTAGTGTAAAATTTTATTATCTGGTTGCCTTGACTAGTCTGCGAGCAGATCCTCATTATTGGCGTAGGATGCGCGTTTTCCCACCCGTGAGGAGATTTGAGACGAGTCGGGGAAGAGTTTGCCAGGGGTCTGGTACGAATGATTATTAGTGCCAGACCACTAAGAGACCTCTCGCCGGCTCGCTTTACTCAAGGACGCAGTTTTTCGTGGGTTGAGAGACGCCCGTGTCGCGGCTCTAATAATGAAGGGGTCACTCGCGCACCATGCTTTGACAAGTGTGGTCGACAATTTTTTATTGTTAATGTATACGGCGAAAAATTTTGCATAACAAGTACACTTGCCAAGGGACGCTTGGTGGTGTAAATGCGGGTTTAGCGAAGGAGATGTAGGTCAACATGTTTCGTTCAAGTTTGTGTTGAGGCTCTCAGCTTTGGTCCTTTGATGTCACTTAATTATAATCTGCAACTTTACCTTTTGATGCTTTTGACAGTGTTGGTCAGCGGCAGTTGGTGTGTTTAGCGCGTGCGCTACTTCGTAAAAGTAAGGTCCTGGTCTTGGACGAAGCCACGGCTGCGGTGGACTTGGAAACTGATGAACTCATTCAGCAAACGATTAGGCGTGAGTTCGCTGACCGCACAGTGTTCACCATTGCTCATAGGCTCAACACCATTATGGACTATACCAGGTTTGTAATACTCATAGGTAAACAGGAAGAGAATTCCATCCCATTGGTTTTTACGTAGTTGTCGTCTGCCATCATACATGAAGATCCTCTTATGTGTCCTGCCTCTTAGTAAAGGTTTCGCGTTTTCTGCAGTAGATAAAGGTGGGACCCCTAATTAGTGCTCGTCTCTTTCTTTCTAGGATCATGGTTCTGGACAAAGGTTTCGTGGTGGAGTTCGACAGTCCTGAGAACCTCTTGACCCAGAGGGGGATATTTTATTCCATGGCACAAGACGCTGGATTAGCTTAATTTTCTTATTATAAGCCTTCTTATGAGTAGTTAGTTGCAGTAAATGTGATAGGCGACAGGATCGGTTTCAAAGCAAGCCTCAAGTAACAAGGGGAACCATAGAGAAGCCCAACCTTTCGAAGTTCGCCCAAGAGATTTTTCTTAAGTATTTTGCTCCTCGCCTTAAAGCCTCGCTTTTGGTTTTTTAGTTCGTTTTTAAACATGTAACATTGCAATCTAGATTTGGGCAAACGCTGCCACAAGGGAACGTAAAGGCTACAAAATGTACTGCGAGGTATGATCAGTTAGCCTTTAAGTTAAGCTTGTTATAGCTAGCCTCGATGCATTTTTTACCGTAATAGTTTTTCTGCACGTTGCAAGCTAAGAGATCCTGCAAGCTTCAGATCTTCTGCTAATCGTTTTTAAGGAAGCTTAAGCCATTTTGTACTTGATTCAAAAAAAGAGCGTCCGCTTATGCATAATTTTATGTTTAAAGTTTCTTTTGCTGTTCTGATAGAGAACACCCGTTCACCAGTCATCAGTAAAAGGTCTCGAGGTTATCTCCACTCCTGAAATATTGTACAAAGACCATCCATTTTTATTCCAAATTCCTACTCTTATTTTTGAAAAGAAAAGATAACGTTCTTCTTTCTCATAGTTCATAACCAACTCTCTCTTTACAATGTTTACTTTATATGTTCCAAAAGCTTTCACATTTTGATGCATACGGTTAAAATCTCTCAACGGGTTGATAATTCTTTGAGGGGGTCAATGAAAGCTAGATCATATAGATAGTTTTTTAACCTGCAGTTGACTCGTGATTTGTTTATTGGTTAGCTTTGTTCTGGAATATATTATAGCCTCTATTTCCAAATTATTTATTCAGATTCAATTTGCACTGTCGTGGATGTAGCTAGAAAAATAATAAAATAACAAGCACTGGTTATGAGCTGCTTCCTGTACTTATTAAGGACTAGGCACAAGTAGGTTTCTCTTATTCCCTTACTCTCTGAGCTTTACTGACCAAGAATGACTGGTTTGTTGTTTTTTGTGTCAATTATCTACTCTGGCATATAGTTTGTGAAACTCCATGTCAACGGGTTTGTCAGTAACGAAGTAAGATCACTTTTAGTTACACCTAGGAGTTGATAATTGACAAACTTTTCGATTGTCAAAAATCAACTCTGGCATATGGCTAGTAAAGCTCAATGTTAACGGACATATAAATCAACTAAGTAAGACCTTTTCAAGTAATACCTCACGAACCACGCCAGTCACTAGAAAGTTGGCGCGAAAGTTGAGGTCGCTTGTTCGACACCTTACGGTGACATACTTCGATTTAATTATTTTGCTTCGAAAATTTGTTTTTTCTTCTTTCTATTTCTTTTTTCTGCCAAATACCATAAAGTAAAAGACCTTTAACATAATACGCAATGATGCAATTTTGCATGATAAGCCTCAAATCGCGTCAGAAACGCACAATTCGGGGAAAATCGGACCAATTTTTTTTGTTCAATTCTACTTGCTGGCACCTGCTGACAGTTACAACTAGTCTCACTCTGGGAGCAGATATCGAAAAAAACAAGTTTCGTTCAACCATCACAGCAGGAAAGGTCTGACACTTGATTCTGATAGAGAAAGACCTGATCAACACGAGGTAGTTCTTAGAGTTGCCAACTCGGAATTGTGGTATACTTTTCAAAATACTGTCACTGCATAAGCTTTATTGCCAGTAAAAATCTTTATATCGTGAGACGAATGCTCCTAATAATTTAGCACGAAGTAAAATTTTACCACATCTGCACCGCTGCTTACGTATTTTTCCCACATTATTATTTCGTGAAGTCTTAAATATTGGTTGACATGTATTACACGTGTAATTACTCTACGTATGTTCTTTAGAAAATACGAACAATCATTTCACCAACTCGTTGTGACATTGACCTGAAGTCTTTTGTACTATCTACATTCACCACTTATACGTTAATTATATTAGTTCACGCGGTTATATTTAAAAGGCTATTTTTGCTAAAGAATTTTCAGCGATCAATATGAGTTCATCACTTCCAATTAATGCACAGGCTTTGCTCTACCTGCTGACTCTGAACGTAATTAAGTGAAATAAAAGTAAAGGCATGAATTGATTGGCCAGGAAGATCTGAGCAGACTCTGGAAGCCAATTATCTACATTGTTGTATAGAATCATCAAGAGGTGTGACATTTCGCTTGGATTATTTAACACCTCATCGACACATTTTCCTGAACCTTTCAGGAAACGGAACTATATTAGTACTTTCGTTGTAGTCACCCGTATTATGCTTAAGATAAGACAAGCAAATATAACCCTTACTCTGTGTCAATAACAACCTTACTCGAGAATGCTTCTTTCAACACTCAAGGTAAGCGGCTTTAGTTTCGAGATTTTTGTCACTGAAACCAAGTGGGTGCTGACCAAATCATCAAACAGGAACTTCACCTCAATACTTTCTATCAATTACCAATTATCAATTTCTTACTCATCATATCATCGCACACGTTAGGCTATCTCCAGATCAGAGTTTCAAGTTATCACGCTAAGAGAGATTTGAACTACTGTGTATTCACCGCAAAATGTTCCTTGATTTTCTCTTATTTTGATTCTCATATTTCATATTTAGACCTCTGGGATCTATTTGCTAGATTTTCTAGTATTTGAAATTTTTGTTGCACACATAAAAAACAACCGTAAAAAAGGAATTAATCTTGGGTCCTAAGCAGGGTGATAATTTACTTGAGCATATTACAGAGTCTTGCTTTTGTTCGTATTCTGTGTGACAGAGCAACTTTAACAAAATTATCTTAATCCCTGCTTGAATGCGCAGTAATAGCGTGACAAACGCGTTTAGACCCTTGGGATTATGGGAACCCGCCGCGGCTTTCGGTGGCACATGCATTAAACAACATGTCGGTCGCAAAACACCGGTAACAGAACTGACGACTAGCATTGAGCTGTTCTTTCAGACGTTTTGGAAAACGAAAGTCATGATTCATATAAATGATAACAAAGTGAAAGAGACAAACCAGCGTCCTGCGGCATCGCACTGAGTTCGGCTTTGTGGTGGACAATACTTAGGCGCTGGCTTCGATTGAATATTCACTAGTACTGACAGAACATAATGCCTGGTTCTTCGTCACGATAACCGAGAACGGGATGTTCTCTTGAATTATTCCGATTTCAGACAGGACTATTCGGAGAAGATGTCTGTGACAGGTAAGCCTGGAACCTGGTGTTGAGATGTTGATCACGAATGCGAGGTACGGTCTACTTAAGCTACGTAAGAAGGCGGTCGAATGATGTAATTGTGTGTTGTAAATTCGCTTCCAACAGTTCTCTTCATCTGTCCAAATAAAATCATATTTATTGGTAGCAAAAGCTAAAGCCGCATAAAGAAAAACATTGGAAAAAATCGCGGGAGAAAATTTACTATCCACCTCAAGCATGTGGAAGTTTCTTACCGTCGAGAAGAGAGCCATTTTTAAGACCACTTTAAGACAATATGGCGGTATTTTTCGCTGAAAAATGATTTCTCGATATATTGAAGTTTGATGCCGTAGTACATAATTCAAGTTTCACGCTTTGCCGTCAATGTTGTATCATCCACATCGTCGTGTTATAGGAACTTAACGTAAACAATACGATTGACCCGTGACATAACGCCTTACGTGACGTTTCGAGGCGTGACACAACAGTCGCAGGATCGTCGATAGACAGTCTTCACAGATCAACATGAAAGGGCTTTTAAGTAAGCTTGGGTTGTACAAAATTTCACCTATGGAAAAGGGCAGTCTTAAGGAAAGGGTTTTTAGGAGAAGTTAATGTTTTCGTGTACTCTATTCTTGCGAAATTGTGATGTAGGTATCAAGAAGGGAAAGCCAGCTGCTCAGTGGCGAACAGAGAAGAAGTCATAAATCGTATTTGATCTGGAGACCAGTGGAAGAGTAGTTTGAAATGGCACTTTGAAAATGTCCATCTCAAATTTATAATTCTACACCAAGGTTATTTGTAATTTTTATATTGTCGATCTCGTTTCTGTTCTGGCCGATCTCAACCGTAAGGATATGAAAATTAGGGAAGAAATTGATTTTGTAACTGCGTAGGCGAGCAAGTACAAGTTGTGGGTGGGGTTTTTGTGTCTTTGTTCTTCTTCTGAACTTGAGAGCGAGTGAGAATTTGGCTAGGTGGTACAGATTTCTGCATACACCAATACTAAATCTACCCCGTTAAAAGGAGAACTGATTAACGTACAGTGATTCGAATATGTAAAGAGACATAAAAAATGTTCAAAGTATCCAAGGAGCCTAGTAGAAAGTAACCATATTCAAAATGATGTGGGTTCTTACTGTTACTTGTCCTTGCTTGATCCGTCGCTGATCCTTGGCTGTCGGTGCTTGTTTGGCAATTTCCGAAAAAGATCACTGGTCTGGTCTTGACTTTCCCGCTCTTTTGGATGTTCTGTTGGTTCCTTCAGTAGCCGAGAATGTCACCGATCCGTAATTTTCTGTGGTTTGGCTGTCTTACTTTGATTTCCCGGCTCGTCTTGTGGGAGCCTGGTGTCTCCTGGTTGGTCTTTGAGTACTCTCTATTTTTCGTTCAATTTTTCTGGCTTTGCTGGCGTACTTTGATTTCCCGGCTTGTCTTTAGGTAGCCCGGGTTCGCCTGGTTGGTCGTTGAGTACTCTCTAATGTTCGTTCAGTTTACTCTAATGGCAAACTAAATGAAAACGTCCATAGGCCACCCGCGTGTCGAGGCTCTTACCCTCTAAGACGTTCGTACTGGCACAGTAAGTGGTAGAGAAACACTTGTGGTAAGAGCGCGGGCAGCGAGGAGGTTGTGGATATGCCCGGGTCCTCCACCAGCTTGTTAGAATTAATTTCTCTTAACACTCGTTTGTGGTTTGGTTGATCCTTCTTTAATTACTTTTCTTCTCAAGTTGTTACAATGGGGACTAACTTCAATATATCAGGGAAAACTAGAGTCTCCGCTTATAAAGGTGACACTGCGGATGACATTTCTAAGCCGTCAATCTTTTTGTGTCGTCATTGTACCATCTCAACTAGAGAATCACGCTTGACTACGTATTATAGTTCCCACATACTGAGTAAGCACCTTAGGGTTGTCTACGCAGTTACAAAATCAATTTCTTCCCTAATTTTCATATCTTTACGGTTGAGATCGGCCAGAACAGAAACGAGATCGACAATATAAAAATTACAAATAACCTTGGTGTAGAGTATTATTTATACCTGAAAGTGTATCTTAAGAGAAAATCACCTTTAAAGATTGTTGCATAACAACATCTTGGTCACAAGAGTTAAAGGAGAAAGGCGCTCACAAGTACCGCCCCCAAATTGCTTCTTGTTGCGAAACATGAGGGGTATCACCTGTTTTCCTTTAAATTACCTCTGGGAACACGAAGGTGTCGAATGCGACCTATTACCAGGGAGATTTACTCTAACTTATTCAAGAACATGGCTTATCACGAGTTCCATGTCAACCTCACGATCACAACGAAGAAAACGTGATTAAACTCACTAGGTGAACGTGGCCAAACTCACAAGAAGAACGTGATCAAACTCGACCTTTAAGATAAGACCACCAAGAAGGAGTACGAAGTAATCAACCTGCCCTTTTTATAATTTACATTAAATGACTTAGATAAAATAATATTTCCATTCCTTTTCTTTCCAACACCAATACAGGAAACCCTTACGATACTGTAGATTAACTATAATTGTAATTTTATCATTTAACAGTATTTGTGCAGTCAGGAACAAAACGAAACCATTTTGGTACCAGATAGTTGTAAACTGGGCGCAATGAACTTTATTTGAGCATACTCAAGAGAATTTCAACTTGACATACCGTAAGAGAGATAGAGATACCCCTTACCATGTTATATGTACTGATCACTAATTAATGTTTAGATTACGTCAAATTAATACCTCCTTTCACATCTATAGGCGGAATGACTGAAAAATCGTCTGGCTCGAATTATGAACACAACTTCAGTGTCAACTGGGAACCAGAACAAACAAACGAGAGAAGAAAGAGGGTGAGGAAGTTAACTGAGTCATTCTTTACTTGGGGGCAGATTTCAACGATCAAGTGTTCTCACGCTTCAAGCAGGTTGCTTGTTTTTACTTTGAGAATTGGTTGACAGCGATGTAAACTTTTGTTCTGTTCTTTGGTTTGAACCCGGGGGTAGTATGTGAGTGGACTCTGATGATGATTTCCACTCAGGCTGTCGAAACGTCGGTCACCACTACCGACAGCAGTCCTTCTCAGGACTACGCTCACTCGGACGATCAGATTACACGATCACTTTGCTCGGTTTGGTATTTGTGATCCCTTTGGTTTTGGTTTGTCGACGCTTCAATGAAAACTAATTTATCATTAAATCTTGCAAGACACCACATAAATTTATCTAAATTTGTCTGGTGTTTTAAATATAAGTTTTGTATAAATTGTACTAAGTAGCAAAACGAGAGATTATGGCTCTTATGTCACCACAGAATTTCCTACAGAAATATTTGATCTTGTTCTACCGCTTTCCTTCTCTCGTTTCAGATTTCTTGTCCCGAAGATAAAGCAACATGCTTTTCAAGAATCACGTTCTGGTGGTTGAACTGGTAACCTACATTACTAACTTACCTTTACATACTGAGACATTTGTGGTGTCACGATTCACGTAATATACCCGTCGAGGAACCCTAACATAGACATTTTTCTGCAATAAACTGACATCAGGCGAAATTATTGAAAGGAAACCGAATTTGCTGGAACCGTCCTTGTTGGCAGCAATCGTTGCAGCAATCTGCATCGTTTGCGCCAGAATGCTGAATTTGCCTGAAACTTGCATCTCGGCTGCCCCGAAGTACACTTGCTGTTGTTGTTTAGAAGATACTCAATTCTCATGTGGATTTTTATTTTATTTTTTTTTTCACCTTGGCTGCCTAGTGTTTTACGGGTTTAGGCAAATAACCAACATATCTAACCACAGATTTAGAATCACGGGAACATCATGGGAACATCATGGGAAGCAGTGGAAGGGTGCCACCTCGGCTCTACTCAACAAACTAACATGAGGAAAAAATTATTGTACTAAGGTTGTAAGCATCAGCAAGGCGGAGGGAGACCAAGAAATATTCTAGTTGCTTGGAAGCCATCTTTAACTCTCTTTCCTTAGGATAATTTTTACCGGATACAAGAGACCACTGGAGGACAAGGATCTCTGGGCACTGAATAGGAAGAGCAGAGCTTCATACATTGTTCCTAAAGTGAGATCTATTTGGAATCTCGAACAAAAAAAATGCAACAGGTAGGTCCGTCAGCAAGTTTGTTTAGTGCATTAGATACAAAAACCCTAATATAGATCTCATTCATTTACAACTTTTTACAGGAGGAAAGGAGTTCTGGTTGAAGATGCTTGTGGCTTTGAGCCTAGTGAAACTGATTCGTTACTTGGTAGGAATAAAAAGGAGAAAAAATCACCGAGCAACAAAAGAAAACCTTCACTTTTGAAGGTGTTAGTCAAGATGTACGGATGGAAGTTTCTACTAGCCGCTATCTTTAAACTGTTCCACGACTGCTTTTTGTTTGTACAGCCTCAGTTATTAAGGTAAGCATAAATAAGTTGCTAAAAACTTAGATAAACTTTTGCATGGGCCAATTCTAAAGCCTGCTAGTGATTGATGTTTGTTTCACAAGTAGAATACTTGGAAATTCCGTTACGATGCTATTCGTTGCTTTCACCCTTTAACTCTAGTACATAAATATATATAATAAACACACAAAATAATAATACTTTTACGTTCTGTTTACATTTCCTATGGCATTGCAAAGGAAAGTTACGATCATTTCCTGAATTCTCAAAACTCTAATGTTCGATTCAGCAATGATACCCTAATGAGAAATTAAATACCACTCGTCCTTTGGGGTTAGAGGGTTAAGGTTATAATCACTTTACCAGAGCAGAGATAATGTCCTTGGCCGGGTTGTTCAAAGCTTGGTTACGGTAACCCAGGGTTAATGTGAAATCTTAATTCAGATCTGAAAGCTTAAATAAAATTCTTGATAATTATTTTTGTCTGCAATTTGATGATTGGGTACTCTAAAAAGAATAGAGAAAATTATCCCAAAAGATGCTTTTGAACAAAGGTATAAAGAACCAGGACTAAAATTTAACCTTGGGTTAGCGCTAAAAGGCCTTCAAACTACTGGGCCCTGTACAAATAAAAAAATGGTTAACTTAATGCTACCATGTTTTTGAAGATTGGCGCGCTGTTTTGTCGATCACATGATGTGGCAAAACACTGCCATTAACATTTAGATCGAAATCTACCCTTCGTAATTTGTTCGAAATAGAGACTTCCCACGCATGATTATGCCTGACAATCTATGGTGTAAGAGGAGTACCATTTCATCGCGTTGGAAGAAACAATTCTGTGTTCGTTTCTTTCTTTAGAATGCTTATTGAATACATAGAAGACAAGTCCTCCACTGAGAAAATGTGGATGGGCTATGTATACGCTGGGTCCATGTTTGTGTCAGCAACATTGCAGTCCCTCGTCCTTCAACAGTATTTCCATATAATGGTCACACTTGGTATGAAAATTCGTTCAGCTGTTACTGGTCTTATATATGAAAAGGTGAGCTGCTAAGTCGAAAATTAGTTTTTTTTGTACATTTGGCTGCTATTTTGTTTGTATATGCAGAGTTAGAATGGAAAAAGAAAGACGTAAGAAATGCATGTTTGAATTACTTGATAAACTACCCATGAACGACTGAATCACCAACAACCTAAATGTATGAGCTTATCTCGAGTCTCAGCGTTATTTTTCTCCAATATTTCTCTGTCTTAGAGCAATTATTCCCTGATAATAGCCCCATGTATAAATATTATTGTAATAAAGTTTAGATATAGCACAAGTGAAATTTCGGAACTCAAGAGGTGGGGAGAAACACTCGTCTACGTCTCGTGTTTCCCTCGACAATTCTTTCGCGCTCTAGCGCTTCCTGCGTGCTTTACTACAGAACAAAGCACAGTCAAGGCTTCTCTATTTGTTAACTAACAAGGCTTACCAGTTTTCAATGAACTTTGCAGTTGTTTGTGAAACCTCACAACATCTTTCTATTGCTCGTCTTATTAACACTAAACTTGCCACTAACATCATTTGATCAGGCTCTGGTATTGTGCAACGAATCACGGTCGAAATCAACCGCTGGAGAAATTGTGAACCTGATGTCAGTGGACGCGCAAAGGCTGATGGATGTGATGACATATCTAAACATGATATGGTCTGGGCCCTTCCAAGTTGGAGTGTCATTGTATTTTCTTCATCAAACCATGGGCTGGCCGATTTATGCTGGCTTAGGTGTGATGATCATTTTCACTCCAATTAATTTCTTGATCGGCAGAATGGTGAACAAGTTGCAGGTATTCAACTTCTTGGTTTGTACGCGTGGAGTAGTTAGTCTAGTTTTAGTTTTAGTTTTGCGATATCCGTGTAGTTTTAGTGCAGAAACAAATAACGGAGATTCCTGAAAACAAGGAAATAGTCATTTTGGTTGCCCGGAGTTGTTGGATAGTTTCTCCTTTAGGTCATCCTGTTAACAAGACAGTGTTCAAGTATTGTCATTATTCAACGGAATTTCAATGAATAAACACTTCTCTTTTATGATCAGGTGAAGCAAATGTTGGAGAAGGATGGACGGATAAAGATAATTAATGAAGTTCTCAATGGAATCAAGGTAAATGTATATTGAACAGGACATGTACAGAGTAGAAAAGGAAGCTGAACTTGTGATTTGATCAATCAGGAGAAGGCGGGCAAAAATGAAATGATGATAATATTCATGCTGAGCTTGAGCAGTTTGGTTGTTAACCTTGTGCTGTTTACTTTCATTTTCCAACTTAGAGCCAAGTTACAAGCCATTTGGACCCTTATTTGATTTAAATTTTTCTTTTCCAGGTTCTAAAGCTCTATGCGTGGGAAGAATCTTTCTTGTCAATAATTAACAACAAGCGACGCAAGGAACTCTCATTTCTTCTGAAGTCTCAAATCTGGAAAGTTTTCTTGAATTTCGTTTACAACAGTTTGCCTATCATGGTAAGTTCACAGTGACAACTAAGTTCGTGACATCAATGGTGAATTTTACGTTAACAATGCGAACAAGAAACACAAAATGAGAGCAATTAAAGCACTTATTGCCCAGTACATTAACCTGTAGCAAAATGCCTAGCATTCCTTTAGTGAAAATCCTCCTCACAAGACAGTACAGTAAATTTTTTGCGTTCACTTTTACATTTACTTTCGTACCATTTGTATCCTTTCTGTCGCTCCATTTCATTTCATTTTGAATCATTCTGAGCCCAGCGATCTTTTATCCCATCCCTATACTGTCTGTTCTCTTCGATATGTTTCTAGTCATTTGCTTTTGCTCTTCCCTCGATGTCTCTTTTTGATTGTAAATTAACACACTGAAATTTTTTCATCTATGTAGTAACACAATCATGCAAAAGACAATAACACAGTCTCAATCGACTTTCCTCCAAACAGGTTGCTGTTACAACGTTTGCTGTTTACGTTCTCATAGGCAACAGTCTGACCGCATCCAAAGCGTTTGTGGCCTTGTCGCTCTTTGGAATTTTGCGTTTTCCTCTTGGTTTCTTTCCAGATGTGATTGCAACTTGCATACAAGTAAGTCGAAAAAATTGGAAGGTCGTTGTCAATGCTCCTATATAAGGTTTAAGCTTGAAATTTCAAGTTACTCCAGTTTTTTTTATTGTTCTGGCCTTCCTCACGTTGTTCCTTGAGTAAGGATGAATGAAAGTTAGGTTCGCACGCTTATGCTAGGGTTTTCGCCAAGATTCATTTGAGACGTTTGAATGGTCACACAAAGCTTTAAAGGCGCCAGGTAACGTGTAATCGTACAGGTATATAGTTTTTGCCGCTATATTTGTTGTAAAGTTGTACTATTGTTTAATGTAGATTTATGTCATTTTCCCTCCGTCCTTGCTTTTTTTTTTTTTTTCGTAAGGCACGGGTCTCGGTCAAGCGTATAGAAAAGTTCTTGGATTTAGAAGAACTGGACCCAAACAATGTTCTAAGGACGTCACGTAAGAGCAACGTAATGTAGTGGGTATTTCTGTGACTTGCAAAGACTGAGCACTCGTTGCAGTGATTGATGCGTCAGCCAGTAGGCCACACAGATGACTCACCCAGTAATTTGGGGAGACGAATATACTGACTGATAATTTTAAGCCACCATGTACACATTTGAGTACAGTGTTTTCTTAGGCAGAGAATGTATGAAAACGTGTGAACGTTTACGGCGTTATTTATTTTTCATTTGTCTATTTCATTTCCATCTTGAACTAGAATTAAGGCTCAATTTACCAGTACCGCAGTGAGCCTAAGTGCATCGACGTATACCAAGAATACGCGCCAGTAAACAATTTTCTTGGACTTAAAACATTTTCATTATTCCTAATGCATACAAGATTTCCATGTTCAGTGACTGTAATCCGAAGTGGAGGAGGTTAACCTTTCATGTAAAGCACCGAGTAAAAGAGCAAATGCGGACTCTTCTTATTTTTCTCCCTTAGCAACACAGCTTACTTCGGAAATGATTGGCGTCAAAAGTGGTGTATTTGGATGGAACAGAAAGGATGCACCTAAAATTCATGGGTAAGAGAGAATTGATAAAAAGGCTAAATCAAGAATGTAATTAGCCGAAAAGGTTTTATTCCTAAGTAAGGCAAGAAACATCAAGAGGCTCACAAAAAAGAAAAGGAGCAATAACCGGGTAAGGACGTAGAAATTTTAAACGAGTTACAATGAGTTTTTCAATTGCCACAAATTTGAAAGAATGTTGGTAACTAAAATTTATGGTGTAGGTACTTTGAGCTGGCCTTTAAATGTCGTCTGTCAACTGGTCTTATGTTATGTTTGTTTGTTTTGTTTTGATTTCTTTCTGTCTGTCTGTCCGTCTTTCTGTCTGTCTGTCCGTCTTTCTGTCTGTCTGTCCGTCTTTCTGTCTGTCTGTCTGTCCGTTCGTCCGTCCGTCTGTCTGTCTGTCTGTCTGTCTGTCTGTCAGTCAGGAAACCGGTCTGTTTCACTTGAAGTCTGATTTTTTACGACGTCGGTAGTAGTATAAATTGCTTATACATGGCCCTCTTTAAGTCGGAAGTTCTCTGAATATTGTAGTGTTTCCTTAGCAATAGATCGTGTGGATTTCCCACTGAGCGCAAACGAAGGGCTAATAAGTTAAAAATTTAATTGAAAATGATTTGCCGGATACGAACGATAATTCTTGAAGGGCTCAACTGCATATTGCACATTTATCATAATATGCATTCGTTTCGAGTAACACTAAATTTAAATGACAAAATATATCCCCTCATGGGCAATTTATTGTGCTATATATTTTTTTTTAAAACATATATTTTACTGTCGCATTTTACTGTTTCAGTATCAACCTAAACATTCCAAAGGGCTCCCTGGTTGCAGTCGTTGGTCAGGTTGGATGCGGAAAATCTACTTTGCTTTCCTCTCTTCTTGGTGAAACAGAGAAGTTGAATGGCACCATTTATGTTGACGTACGTAATGTATTATTTCTCTAATGAGTGATGACCTCTTTCAAATTTAGCCATCTTAAAATCCATAGTTAATTTTAGGTTTGCTGATTTCAAGGCCCCTAAATCAAACTATCTGAGATAGCATATACAATATGAATAATTCCTTTTTAGCTCACTTGTGATATCCCTTCATTATGTTCTTTGCAATGTTAAATATGATGTAGCGAGTACAGATGGAAAGAACATTGACTGTCACGACTGTCTGAGTGGTAATTGATGAATTTACCTTTTGACTGATTTGTGGACTCGTCGATAAAAAGTCGCTTGATGAAAATTAAAGTGGTCGATATTTTTTCCTACAGGGATCTGTGGCGTATGTTTCCCAGCAGGCCTGGATACAGAACGCCACTATACGAGACAATATCCTGTTTAATAAGGCCATGGATCCAACTCGTTATGAGCAGGTTATTGACTCATGCGCCTTGAGAAGTGATTTGAAAATTCTTCCAGCGGGTGACTCCACGGAAATAGGAGAACGGGTGAGAAGGAATTTTGGGAAGATTGTTCTACCTTTTTATCACCAAACAAAAGGGAGTGCAACTGGTTAAGATCTTTGCTATTCACTAAAGAGACAAGTTAGACGTGGATATTAATCATTTTGATTAAAGGTGGACAACATTTTTATCATTTTTATTAAGGTTCAAATCCCATTGAATTTCAAAAGCCGTGCTCGACTTTTTTGGCGTCCCATTGAACGAATACGCTTTGAGCTTTTAGCAACTTCTTGATCACAGCGGTTTTTCTCTTCCATCATTTCACCTCGCTGACGACCGAGCAGATATGTGGTTCAGTTTCCTTTTTGATACTGTACTCGTCCATAACACACTGAGAGATGTGAATAATGACGCCACTGATAAATGCTTCAAGTTATTTCTAAGTTATTGTTATCGTCCTTGGACAAAACTCCTTTCAATTATACAGGGCATCAACCTCAGTGGTGGACAAAAACAACGAGTAAGTCTAGCACGCGCAGTTTATTTCAACGCTGATATCTACTTACTGGATGATCCGCTCAGTGCTGTGGACGCTCATGTTGGACGAAAATTATTTCTGAATGTCATTGGACCTAATGGAATGCTTAAAGATAAGGTGAGGTGGGACAGGGATCATCAGGGATCAATTTTTTGTAATGTCGTAGACACAAGGATGTTAAGGACCTTAAGCAAACCACGACAGCGACAACAACGAGGACGTGGCCGAACAAAATATCTATGATTGGAGGAAAAATAGCTGAGCGCGTGCGTTTTTAAAGTTTGGACATTTCTTCGCCGTCGTTTCAACAACTACAAAATAACCAAAACTTGTGTGATTTGAGAAAGAAAACCCTAACGGAAAATTATTTAATTTTCCATTTGGAACTCATTATAGGTGAAGTTGAACTGTGGCACTGTAGGAGACACTAAACACATTCGGCCAATAGCAAAATTCTAGCCAAATATTTAAACTAATTATTTAATCGACGTCTTCGTCGCCGAACAACGATCTATGAGTAACCAATCTCGTGTCGCGAATTTTGCTCACGTGGAGATCCCATGCTGTTTGTATTCGTTTTCTACCACACCACTCACTAAACACGTGAGGTACATCTCACCCTTTTCCCCGGAAGCAAACCAACATGAGCTCAAAAACGACGGGAGAGTTATTCTTTTATAGTCAGTCCCTTGACTCGATCCTTTCTAGGGTATCTATAATGATGGCTCGTTTTCTTGGAAATTTAAAAAACCTGACGAACTTTTATACCATTTTGGATGACCACTAAGCAAGGTCTATCTTTTCTTGCTATGGTCCAACTTTCCAAAGTACAACTTTAAATTTTTATTGTCATGTGTCATTACCCACCAGACTCGAATCTTTGTTACCCATGGCATCAACTTTTTACCTCAAGTGGACCACATCATCGTTCTTCAGGACGGTTTCGTCTCAGAGGTATGTAAAATTTCCATCAGGCTGTATAAATTATCTTAAAGTGGATTATTTTGATAAAGGTTTTCTTTGATTTTCTTTTGTTTGGATTTTTTTTTAGGAAGGCACGTACACTGAACTTCTGGAAAACTCAAGTGCCTTTGCCGATTTCATACAAGCTTACAGATCAGAGGAGAACTGTGGTCTGTATCAAATACAATATACAATTTTTTTACTATAAAATTTCTATTTCGTAAATTGTTGTACGCTTCTAACGCAGCACTCGTTGTAGTCATGCAAAACTGTGTGAAAATTTATCATGCGCTTTACCGATAATGTTGTGGTAATAATTGAATGTACTATTACTAAACAGAAACTGATGTTCATGATGAGAACGAAATCGACGAAGCGCTTCAAGAAAGCACTGATAATGTTTTCAACAGAAAAGAAACACTACCTTCGTTGAAAGGTCACGAGCATAATCAAGGGAGTAATAATAGTAATGCTGGAAAAACGATAACAGAGGAAATATCAAAGACTGGAGGGGTAAGTTTTGCAGTCTAAAGTAATGAATATTTTTAACTGAGCGCTTAGCTCTTTATTTGCTTTCTTATTTTCAATCGAAAAATATTATTCCGAAATATAAATAATTTATATTTTGATACAATTTTTCTAACAAAGTTCATTTTTCTCGAGTAATTATCTTCTTTCTTAAATATAATTTTCTTTAGCTGCAATCAAGATGTGTTGAGTGAAATCTTACTCTTGTAGCAATTTAAAGAATTCTTCATATTTGCCATAATTTTTCATGCAAATTCAGCTTAGATGTCACAAATGGATTTTTGTCCCCCTCCCTAACAGTGTTGATGTTGTCAGTGTTGTTGTAAAGACAATTTCTCGATATTATTAAACAAAAACGCCGGGGAAGTCTCTCATCTGAGCAATTTTTCCAGTGACTGTAAAGTTCCATTTACCTAGAGGTGTTTCCTCTAGATATATTTCCGTTTGAGGAATGTTTACAACACGTGAGATAGATGGATGCTTTGGGAAGGTTCTGCTCAGTAAGGAGTAATTTATCAACTTTATCCGAGTATAATTTCGACTTTCGGTACCTGAGATTTCTCGTATGTTCCGAATTCTGGACCCACTATGATTGCTCAAAACCCGCCCCATGCCCTTGGAAGTAGTTCTGTTCGGCATGTGTCAAAAAGGCGGGCTTTTTTCTAAGTGATAGGAAAGCAGTAGCAATGATCTGTTTTTTTTGTTTTGTTTGGTTTTGTTTGTTTGTTTGGGTTTTTTTCTAAGCATTTGTCTGTATTATTTATATCCCTAAACAGGCAACGTTTTCCTTATTGTTTTCTTACATCAAGTCCTCTGGCATACACTGGTTCGTCCTCTCTCTGTTCTTTTTCGTGGTAATGGAAGCGTGTTCTGTGGCTACAGGAGTATGGTTAGCCCACTGGAGCGCGGCAAACGTGACCACAAACCATCAAAGGGACTTTTATCTATTAATCTATGGAAGCATCGGATCGGGTCAGACCCTCTTTACCCTTTTGTACTCCTTGGCATTGTTTATAGGGGCGATTAGAGCTTCCCGAATACTTCATCGTAAATTAATCGTGAACATCTTGCGGTTACCGATGATGTTCTTTGATACGACACCGATTGGTAGGATTATGAACCGGCTGTCGAAGGATATTTATTGCATTGATGTGACAATTCCATTATCTCTGAAGTCGTTCTTACAGATGTTTTTTGATGTCCTTGGGATGTTGGTAGCTGTTAGTTACGCCACACCACTCTTCCTGACTGTTGTTCCTCCTTTGGGAGCACTTTATTTTTACATACAGGTGAGAGAAAGACTTTTGTTTCCGTTTAAACTTAAGGTAAAATACATTGTAGGATATTTCAATAAACGTACAGCACACAAACGTCAACGACAATAGAAAAGTAAGATCAGCTAGAGGAGGAACGGAGAAGTTTATCGTGGATAATGAGATGTTTACTGCGAGTCGAACATGTCGGAGTTTTTCTCCCAGTACACTTTCCTTATAGGGAAGGATGGGATTCAATTCGTCTTTACATAGCAAATATTATCTTTTTTTCTCTTTTTTCTCTTGTTTTGATGTTGCTGGACATTACAAAATTCTCCCCCCCCCCCATTGACGTTTTCCTAACCACTCTCAAGAGGAAATGTCACATTGACCTATTTCACTCGCTACATTCATTAAGAATGTGCGAATCGATTGAAGTACTGAACACGTCTTGTTTACTTGTATGATGATTGAAGAGCTAAAAGTATAGCATATTTTCATTACTGTTCTCCGAGCTGGAACGCAGATTTTATCACTTTATGCATGTTACACGTCTTGATTCCCGCAGTTTAATTTAATTAATTCACTGAATATTCTACTAGAGAGTATACGTAGCTACATCGAGACAGCTGAGGAGAATCGAGTCAGTGAGTCGATCACCGATATACAGTCACTTCCTGGAAACAATCACCGGTGTCAGCACCATACGGGCTTTCTCACAACAGCAGCGCTTCATCCGGGATAATTATAGGAAATTAGATGAAAACCAAGAAGCACACTATTTGGCTGTTACTGCTGACAGGTGAAGAGATGAATGCTGTACCATATGTATATTTCATCTCAAGTATTCAGTCCTCGGATGAGCATGAACTTGCTACCTATATAATTACATGTTTTATCCATTAATAACGGTTTCATTAGCATGGTAAAATAATTAGTCATCTCTTAGTAACCTTCGCAGACAAACAAACTGATTCTTCTGCCGTTCATAATCCTTTTCTTGGCTTTATGAGATTGCTTTTGTCATCCTTAATTTTGCTGCATAAGCGTTGATGATCTGTCTTTTCTAAACTAATTTTGACTTTGATGCAGAAATATAAGGACTATTTTTTTCGTTTTTTCATCTTTAATATGATTTTGGGTATGAGTTGTGAAGAACACTATCTGCAGCTATTTGCGCCGATATTTGTTGTAAGGGAACGAAATGTCTTCAATATCATCATTTATTATAAGGCTTGTTCTACGAGAAGGATCATAATTTTTTAAATATTTTATAGGATTAATGATTAAAACTTTAAGCTCCTCAGGCAAGATTCCAAAGAGAGTGAAGCTTTTTCGACACCTTTTTTTACAGATGGTTATCTCTTCGTTTGGAATTCATCGGCAATTGCCTGATCCTGTTTGCAGCGTTGTTTGCAGTAATCAGCCGAGAAAAGATCAGTGGAGGTCTTGTAGGACTTTCTGTAACCTATGCGGTTCAGGTAAACACAAACAACAAACGAAATGGCTTTACTTCCTCAAGACCAAGAGTTTGAAATAAAAACTCGACCCTCGCTTTGTACTCGTAGGTGTTTATAAATATCCAATTTTATCGACAAACATTCGTGTCTTCGTATGGACCTGCTTCAGTAAAATGCTTGACAGTTAAAATCAGTAAGTTTGATCAAGACAGTAAACATATAACGTCAACAAAGTTAGCTCGGTAGAGGGAGGAAAGAGAAGTGTGTAAGAAGCTTTGCAAATTCAATTACCCATTTTTTCCTTTTTTTTTTTCTATCTGAATAACCTTATTCCAGACTCTATAATTTCGAATAACCTGACTTTGCTGACGTATTTTAAAATGTTCCTTTTTCCTCTTTTCTAATCGGTGTTGTAGATAACTCAAAAACTTGCCTGGATGATTAGAATGTCAAGTCAACTGGAAACCAACTTAGTATCAGTTGAGAGGGTGAAGGAGTATTCTGATGCCCAGACAGAGGTGGGTGAAAATCAAATCATTAGCCACTTAAAACGCACGAAGAAGAAAAAGAACGTGTTGAAACAATTTAATAGATCTTGTAATTAGCGGTGAATGGATCTTTACGCCTATCGTAGGACGACTACACGAGGCTACCAAATTGAGCAGATTTTGCTGAATGTTTCCTCAGGGGTGTAACCAATTGACTTCACGTATTTGCCGACGGTATTTCTGATTTTTCTCATCGAACGACTTTGGACATATTCAAACGTAATTTTTCGTCGAAACAGTTTTGCAAACTAAACCACAAAGGTTTGAAAATCAATTCTCGAATTTGAAACAAATCTATTTGTTTAGAAGACAAATGTTCCATTTAAAGTCTATGAACATTTTGTTGGCGGTTCTTATGTTCTCAGGAAATTGTTTTGCAAAAGACCATTGCACTACCAAAGATATTTCAAGATGCGCGAAATGAGTATTATACTTTTACGAGAAGAACCTCGAAAAACTTATCATATCCCTTCTCAGTTCCATTCTTCTCTAACTCTCGGTATTGTAAGGCGGGGTAGTATTCAAATTTGCCACTTCTGTGGTTAAAATATTAAATGATGCGTATGTATCTTTCAATTCACTTCTTTCTTCATTTCAAGGCAGAAAGAGTCATTCCTGATAGCCGGCCGTCTCGTGTTTGGCCACAGCAGGGAATAGTTTTATTTGATAACTTCCAGTTGCGATACAGAGAAGGACTTCCACTGGTTTTGAGAAAGATAACCTTTATAATCAAGCCAGCTGAAAAGGTAAATGAATAATAAACAATAGACTTTTATATCTAAAATATCAGTCTTAGCTTGCGCCAACAAATAATTAAGTTGTTTTCATTAAGAAGGTCACAAGTACACACAACAGATTTGTGTTTGTATTTTACTCGCGTAACTTTACTAACTCGTCGTACGCATTGATTTACATCTGTTCATGCGCTAACGCGTGAAGTATTTTGAATAAATGTATGAATCAGTCAGCGGTTTGGATACGGATCGACCAGCGGTTAGGTTTGGGTGCGAACCGACTCAAATTGGGTACAAATCGACTGCATTTGGGTGCAAAACGACTGGGTGCGAAACGACCGTGGGTACGAAACGACCGTGTACCTCTAGATTGAGATGGTTGTTGTTTCTCGTCCTTGCTCCGAGGGTTTTGCTCTGGGTCCTCCGGTTTTCCTCCCTCCTCAAAAACCAACATTTCCAATTTTCAATTCGACCTGGAAACAGTGACAAGAAGAGCTTCTTAGTGGAATGTCCACTGCTAAATCCCATTATTATGTTATAATAATTTTTGTTCTTAGTAATAATGACTTTCATAAATCTTAGCAATACTTAACCTTAAATTAGTAAACTTAAACAAGTTTCCCCTAACGGTCGAACTCAAAAGGTGACTTGGTGTTTGACTTTTATTTCCATGTTTGAATTGAATACAACAAGGACACTTCCGTTTCTCGAAGATCTTTTGAAATGCAGTCAGCTGTGTAAAAAAACTTACTCACCTTGAACTGTACAGGTGTTGTTCACTTAGTTGTTATTGTTGTCATTATCATTATTATCATTTTCTCAGTTACGAATATAGCTTTGTTGAATGCTCGACAGATTGGCATTGTGGGTCGAACAGGAGCAGGGAAATCGTCCTTGGCCTTAGCCTTGTTTCGTATTCTTGAGAAATCAGGTGGTAAAATTGTCATCGATGGTGTTGATATTGCCACCATTGGACTCAGAGATCTCCGTTCGCGGCTTACCATTATTCCACAGGTGAAACATGGAACGCAAATAAGCAAGGGGAGGTTTATAGTGATAGTGCGAGAACAAAGTCTTTTTGATGCAGTTGAATGCTGCTTTTTGGGAGGATAGCGCTCGTTAGTGACAATGGGGAGGAAACCCAGGCATCTTTAGCTACAAATTCATTCATCCTGGTTTAGGGCTGTTAAATCGCATTTTAGGGTTTTCATGGAAATTTATGTGCTTTCTTACTTCAGCACCTTAAACGATTGAGGACCGGGACGTCATCCGTCGGATACATAAAAAAATATTGATACTTGGTCAGAAGGGAGGGAAGTGTTTCAATGTTTTTAATGAAATCAAAAAATGCTTTTTTTTTACTTGTTTTACTTTTTGATTTTATTCCATTCTTATTTATCTTTACCTATAGGAGCCCGCGTTATTTTCTGGAACTCTCCGTCTAAACTTGGATCCGTTCAATGAACATGTGGATGAAGAGCTTTGGAGAGTATTGGAAGTGAGTCATTTGAAAAGATTTGTGATGAGTTTGAGTGGAGGACTTCAGCACGTTATAGCTGAAGGAGGCGAAAATCTCAGGTAGGAAAGAGGGTGGACTGACAATGAATACGTTGAACTGTTCATTGATACAAGGTACAAGAATGCATGCTCAACTTAAAACTCGGTTCACGACTTTTAAAAATGTAATGCGCTTTTCTCAAAATCCGTTTCAATAATTGTATTTTTTTTTGGAACCTAAGAGATGCATTTCACAGTCAGTTAGTATTGAAACTGCATGGTTTAGAGGGGTCAGGAAAAAACATGAACTTGTGTTGAGGCTCTCAATTAAAATTTCAAGCCCCCGGTCAAGAAGCCCTTCAAATCAAGAGGATCCTGGGAACCTATTGAAACATTTTTGGGATGAGAGGTAAAAAGTACAGACTCTACCAGCCAACAATGAAATGTCATTTCAGGCTTGGACAGTATCTTGACCAGTTTTAAATTCTATATATGTTAAATTTTTGATTCTCTCCTCTATGGTTCTCGCTTATCCAAAGTTTTAATATTTTTATGTTATGAGTATGTAATTGTTTTGTATGGTTACTAAATTTTCTTGTGTTCCCATTTCTACGTAAAATTTGAAACTTCAAATTTTTGCATGAAATGTAACCTTTATAATCCTAAGACTTGTGTGATTTCATCAATCATGAGCTAGAGATTGCATAGCCTTTACGATTGAAAGGTTCAAGGACGTTTTAGTGCGGCTTTGGGCGGGTGGTTTTCCATGGCCAATGCCTTTCACGTGACTCATTTAATCGCTATGGAACTTTTATACCTTATTGTAGTGTTGGCCAGCGACAGCTGGTTTGTTTAGCGCGTGCACTTCTCCGTAAAAGTAAGATTCTGGTTCTGGACGAAGCAACGGCCGCGGTGGACCTGGAAACTGATCAACTCATTCAACAAACGATTCGACGGGAGTTCGCTGACAGTACAGTGTTCACCATCGCCCACAGGCTAAACACCATCATGGACTACGACAGGTAAAAGTCTGTCTAGTGGACTTCGTTCAAACTTCAGTGATTAATATTTTACTGAATCGTTTATCTTGAATAACCAAGGCGTGGCAAACTAATTTACATTATTCATTATTTGCGTGGCGTGACACAAAAAATTATATGTTAAAGTAACGGACGTTTTTTCCTTTCATAGGGTTATGGTTCTTGAAGACGGTTCAATTACAGAATTTGACGCACCCAGCAAACTTCTGGAACAAAGAGGACACTTCTATAACATGACTCGTGACGCAAGACTTACAAAGTGACCTAATATATTTATTTGGCTTTAGATCCTACCAGTTTTTTAGACAAAACAGGTACAAAAAACGAAACAACCGGGCAGATTAAGGCATCTTCACAGTAAGCGATCAGGTTGTTCAAATAGAAAATGAAGAACGAAAGAAGCCGCGGTATGGCGAATTTTACTTACTTTATAATTTTCAAATATAATGAATGTATTTACCAACAACTTCTTAATGAGAAAGCTTGAACATTTAAATTTAGAGAGGTTTCAATCTGTTATTGTGCATTTTGGCACGTTATTGTCGAGTGCGTGTGGAGGCTCTTTCTATGTCACTCTCTTATTACATTATTTTATTCCTTCCATATTTGATTTTTATTCTTAATTGCAATCTATTCTTCTCATACTTTTCATATGATATCTGCATATCTACACTTTTCGCACATTTTCATGTTACAACATATTTGTATAAGAAAGTTTTACGAAATATGTTTCTTACCCGTAATGCCGAATTCCGAAGATCCACAATAGCTTGCATTCTACCTTTAAAAAAATTAGGCGCATTGGAAGTTCTCTTTCGGTAGCTCTATTCTTTCGGGAACAGTGTTTTACTAAAATGTTTTTCTTACGATCGCTTGATTTCATATCGCGAGATTCTTTTATCTCTCCTCTTTCCTACGTCATCATTTGCAAGGCACTCTGGCCTTGAAAATTCATTAGTCGTATGAAATAATAACCATTCCATTAATCTCGAGCCATGCATTCCCTGAGCTTCTGTCAAGTAAGAAAGTAAGATTTTCCTACCATACCGGATCCGAGTGAGACTTGTAGACTTTGGTATCGTCTGCTTTGATTCTAAAGTTTTGATTTGTTGATCGTTTATAAGCATATGAGTACATAAATTTTAAAACAGTCTCCTCCGTTACTCCTCGCCCGAGCATTTGTCACATGTTTAAATGCGCTGTATCCCACTATGGAACATGCCTTCGAAAATTGAAAAAACTACCTGTTGAAATCATAAGCCTTTAACTATGGCACCAAAAGCTCATGGGATATTGTGTGGAATGCTTTTGTTAATTATAATTTAAGAGTGTTTTCCTCATTTAGACTGGACCTTTGGTCTAATTGCTTCGTTCATTATTATTGCCAACGGACCAGATATGACAAATGGAAATTCGTTGAGATGCCTCGTTGATGTATTTCTTGCTTACTTTTGATGTTTAGAAAGGAAAGTATCTATTCGTTACAAGTTTACCTTTCTCAGGAGATCTTTACAGAACTGGGCCCAGTTCGAAGGCCGATTAGCGCTAACCCAAGGTTAAATTTTGATCTAGGTTTCTTTATTCCTTTATTCAAATGCCATTTTAAAATGATTTCCTGTGTTCTTATTAGAGCATCAAATAGTCATATTCTAGACAAAAATAATTCGACTGAATTTTCTTTTTAAGCCATCAGATCTGAAATCAGATTTCACACTAACCCTGGGTTATCTTGACCCAACTTTGAACAACCCGGTTCTGAGGTCTAACCTGAACGTAACCTACTAGAAGAAAGAGGTTTGTTAAGGGTATGTAATGATTACTCTTACTGCTGTTGCAACGATAAATTTCATCCCCTCGGTGAAGAAGGTGATTCGGTGAATCACTTCGGTGAAGGTTGAAGTTATTTTGCTACTTCGATGATCAGGTCTTCTATATCAAGTGAGTTTAATTTTTTTGTTTTTGGGACCACGAGTGTATGGTTGCCTATGAGGTTTCTTTTAATTTCTGCGTATTCGGTACTCTTGCTTTAGATGGCCGTTCCTACAAACAACTCTAATACAAATGTATCTCTGAATTTGATCTCATTGGGAGAGAAAAGTCACCTAAAAACTTGCATGGAATTAGGCTGGTGATTGATTGTAAACGTTTCCTCGTCTGACGGTGATCCAAGTGTAGAAAGGGGCCGTCTGTTTGACTTCCCTTCAAAATGCCATGTAACAGGGCCTCTACGAACCGGGATTTTCGCTTTCATGTCAAATCCTACTTACTAAAATTGACCTAATAAGCCATAAAATATGGCGGCTTTTCATCCGTGTAGGACGGCCTCTTTTCGATGGCTTCATTATCGCGAACGCGGAATGAAGTGAACAACATACGTACTCCTGAGAGTAGTGATAAACCTCGAAATGAAAACTCGCCAAAATGGCCTCGATGCAACAAAGTAAGCGGTCAGACAACAAGCGATGCACTGTCAAAGTGAGGTGAGGTATTTAAAAAATCTTTCGCAAGATTTCTATCTCACAGCTGGAGCTTGGGCTGCCTGTGGTTATCCTCTGGGGCTTTTCCTCCAGATGATTCAAATCGCACTCGGAACCCAAGAGAAACGTTAAGATCTCTCGTCACTTCATGTGCACCTCCGCCAATGCCACCGATTGAATAACTTGCACTTTCGTATAATTTGCACTCTTAATCCACACATTATCAACGCACGCTTTTCTTTCAACTAATTTATTCATGTTTTTCCACCAGTAGCGTAGCTCCATTTTCTGTAGATACTCGATCACCCAACCCAAAATTCCTCCATTCGTTCTGATGAAGGACTAACTCTCGAAACGTCAGCTGTGAAAGGCTTTACGGTGGTCATTTAGCCTCAACTACACAACCGAACACACAAAACAACACTTGGAGGCATGGGCGCGTCGGTCAGCCAGGCCCATGACACACTTTATTAACTCACGTGAAAAAACTGCACTTTTCCAGTAATTCTGAGAACAAGCCACGGCCGGACACGTAAACCCGCAAAAACCAACTATTGGAAAAATAGGCACCGTGTAACCCCAACCTATGCCATGGTATCGCCCTTGGGGTTACAAGGCAAAACTAATAAATAAAGCCTAATAACATGAATAGGAACAGAAAACGAGATGCTACATAAAATAGCTAAAAAAGATAGGGACCACTACGGATGGTAACGAGATAAGGCTAACAGAGTAAGTGAAAACTAAATAAACAAAGCAAGATGACGCGGCGAGGCCGACCGTACAATGACACGCATAACTAACCGGTCACTATTTCAAACCCCCTAACTGCGGTCCCACGCGTGCCACGCTAGAACCCAGTTCACCGCTGCGTGCCTGTAAAATAATAATTAATGTCAAGTTATTTCTAAGTTATTGTTATCGTCCATGGACAAAACTCCTTTCAATTATACAGGGTATCAACCTCAGTGGTGGACAAAAACAACGAGTAAGTCTAGCACGTGCAGTTTATTTCAACGCTGATATCTACTTACTGGATGATCCGCTCAGTGCTGTGGACGCTCATGTTGGACGAAAGTTATTTCTGAATGTCATTGGACCTAATGGAATGCTTAAAGATAAGGTGAGGTGGGACAGGGATCATCTCAATGTTTCGTAATGTCGTAGGCACAAGGATGTTAAGGACCTTAAGCAAACCACGACAGCGACAACAACGAGGACGTGGCCGAACAAAATATCTATGCTTGGAGGAAAAATTGCTGAGCGCGTGCGTTTTTAAAGTTGGACATTTCTTCACCGTCGTTTCAACAACTACAAAATAACCAAAACTTATGTGGTTTGAGAAAGAAAACCCTAACGGAAAATTATTTAAGTTTCCATTTGGAACTCAATATAGGTGAAGTTGAACTGTGGCACCGTAAGAGACACTAAACACATTCGGCCAATAGCAAAATTCTAGCCAAATTATTTAATCGACGTCTTCATCGCGGAAGAACGATCTATGAGTAAACAATCTTGTGTCGCGAATTTTGCTCACGTGGACATCCCATGCTGTTTGTATTCGTTTTCTACCACACCACTCACTAAACACGCGAGGTACATCTCACCCTTTTCCCCGGAAGCAAACCAACATGAGCTCAAAAACGACGGGAGAGTTATTCTTTTATAGTCAGTCCCTTGACTCGATCCTTTCCAGGGTATCTATAATGATGGCTCGTTTTCTTGGAAATTTAAAAAACGTGACGAACTTTCATACCATTTTGAATGACCACTAAGCAAGGTCTATCTTTTCTTGCTATGGTCCAACTTTCCAAAGTGCAACTTTAAATTTTTATTGTCATGTGTCATTACCCACCAGACTCGAATCTTTGTTACCCATGGCATCAACTTTTTACCTCAAGTGGACCACATCATCGTTCTTCAGGACGGTTTCGTCTCAGAGGTATGTAAAATTTCCATTGGGCTGTATAAATTATCTAAATTGGATTATTTTGATAAAGGTTTTCTTTGATTTTCTTTTGCTTGGATTTTTTTTAGGAAGGCACGTACACTGAACTTCTGGAAAACTCAAGTGCCTTTGCCGATTTCTTACAAGCTTACAGATCAGAGGAGAACTGTGGTCTGTATCAAATACAATATACAATTTTTTTTACTATAAAAATTCTACTTCGTAAATTGTTGTACGCTTCTAACGCAGCACTCGTTGTAGTCATGCAAAACCGTGTGAAAATTTGTCATGCGCTTTACCGATAATATTGTGGTAATAATTGAATGTACTATTACTAAACAGAAACTGATGCTTCAAGAAAGCACTGATAATGTTTTCAAAAGAAAAGAAACACTACCTTCGTTGAAAGTTCACGAGCATAATCAAGGGAGTAATAATAGTAATGCTGGAAAAACGATAACAGAGGAAATATCAAAGACTGGAGGGGTAAGTTTTGCAGTCTAAAGTAATGAATATTTTTAACTGAGCGCTTAGCTCTTTATTTATTTTCTTATTTTCAAGAGAAAAATGTTATTCAGAAATATAAATAATTTATATTTTGATACAATTTTTCTAACAAAGTTCATTTTTCTCGAGTAATTATCTTCTTTCTTAAATATAATTTTCTTTGGCTGCAATCAAGATGTGTTGAATGAAATCTTACTCTTGTAGCAATTTAAAGAATTCTTCATATTTGCCATAATTTTTCATGCAAATTCAGCTTAGATGTCACAAATGGGTTTTAGTCCTCCTCCCTAACAGTGTTGATGTTGTCAGTGTTGTTGTTAAGACAATTTCTTGCTATTATTAAACAAAAACGCCGGGGAGGTCTCTCATCTGAGCAATTTTTCCAGTCACTGTAAAATTCCATTTAGCTAGAGGTGTTTCCTCTAGATAGATTTCCGTTTGAGGAATGTTTACAACACTTGAGATAGATGGATGCTTTGAAAAGGTTCTGCTCAGTAAGGAGCATTTTATCAACTTTATCCGAGCATAATTTCGATTTTCGGTACCCTGAGATTTCTCGTATGTTCCGAATTCTGGACCCACTATGATTGCTCAAAACCCGCCCCATGCCCTTGGAAGTGGTTCTGTTCGGCATGTGTCAAAAAGGTGGGCTTTTTTCTAAGTGATAGGAAAGCAGTAGCAATGATCTGTTTTTTTGTTTTGTTTGGTTTTGTTTGTTTGTTTGAGTTTTTTTCTAAGCACTTGTCTGTATTATTTATATCCCTAAACAGGCAACGTTTTCCCTATTGTTTTCTTACATCAAGTCCTCTGGCATACACTGGTTTGTCCTCTCTCTGTTCTTTTTCGTGGTAATGGAAGCGTGTTCTGTGGCTACAGGAGTATGGTTAGCCCAATGGAGCGCAGCAAACGTGACCACAAACCATCAAAGGGACTTTTATCTATTAATCTATGGAAGCATCGGATCGGGTCAGACCCTCTTTACCCTTTTGTACTCCCTGGCATTGTTTATAGGGGCGATTAGAGCTTCCCGAATACTCCATCGTAAATTAATCGTGAACATCCTGCGGTTACCGATGATGTTCTTTGATACGACACCGATTGGTCGGATTATGAACCGGCTGTCGAAGGATATTTATTGCATTGATGTGACAATTCCATTATCTCTGAAGTCGTTCTTACAGATGTTTTTTGATGTCCTTGGGATGTTGGTAGCTGTTAGTTACGCCACACCACTCTTCCTGACTGTTGTTCCTCCTTTGGGAGCACTTTATTTTTACATACAGGTGAGAGAAAGACTTTTGTTTCCGTTTAAACTTAAGGTAAAACACATCGTAGGATATTTCAATAAACGTACAGCACACAAATGTCGACGACAATAGAAAAGTAAGACCAGCTAGAGGAGGGACGGAGAAGTTTATCATGGATAATGAGATGTTTACTGCAAGTCGAACATTTCGGAGTTTTTCTCGCGGTACATTTACATTTTTCTCATAGGGAAGGATGGGATTCAATTCGACTTTACATAATGAATATTTTGAGCAATTGTCCTTGTTTTCTTTTTTTCTCTTGTTTTGCTGTTGCTGGACATCACAAAATTCTCCCGCCCCATTGACGTCTTCCTAATCAGGCTCAATAAGAAATATCACACTTTCCTATTTCACTCTCCACATTCATTTACAATGTGCGAATCGATTGAAGTACTGAACACGTCTCGTTTACGTGTATGATGATTGAAGAGCTGAAAGTGTAGTATATTTTCATCACTGTTCTCCTAGCTGGAACGCATATTTTATCACTTTATGCATGTTACACGTCTTGAATCCTGCAGTTTAATTCATTCACTAATTATTGTACCAGAGAGTATACGTGGCTACATCGAGACAGCTGAGAAGAATCGAGTCAGTGAGTCGATCACCAATATACAGTCACTTCCTGGAAACAATCACTGGTGTCAGCACCATACGGGCTTTCTCGCAACAGCAGCGCTTCATCCGGGATAATTATAGGAAATTAGATGAAAACCAAGAAGCACATTACTTGGCTGTTACTGCTGACAGGTGAAAGATGAATGCTTTACCATACGTATATTTCATCTCAAGTATCCTGTCCTCGAATGAGCATGAACTTGCTACTTGTATAATTACAGGCTTTATCCATCTATAACGGTTTCATTAGCATAGTAAAATATTTAGTCTTCTCTGAGTAACCTTCGCAGACTAACAAAATGATTCCTCTGCCTTTCATAATCCTTTTCTTGACTTTATGAGATTGCTTTTGCCATCCTTAATTTTTCAGCATTAACATTGATAATCTGTCTTTTTTAAAATAATTTTGACTGTGATGCGGAAATTTAAGGATTATTTTTTTCGTTTTTCATCGTCAATTTGATTTTGGGCATGAGTTGTGATGAACACTATAAGCAGCTATTTGCGCCGATAGTTGTTGTTGTAAGGGAACGAAATGTCTCCAATGTCATCATTCATTATACAGCTTATTCTAATAGAAGGATCATAATCTTTAAATATTTTATAGGATTAAGGATTGAAGCTTTTAGCTCCACATGCTAGATTCCAAAGAGAATAAAGCTTTTTGGACAACAACTTTTTTTACAGATGGTTATCTCTTCGTTTGGAATTCATCGGCAATTGCCTGATCCTGTTTGCAGCATTGTTTGCAGTAATCAGCCGAGAAAAGATCAGTGGAGGTCTTGTGGGACTTTCTGTAACCTATGCGGTGCAGGTAAACAAACGAAATGACTTTACTTCCTCAAGACCTAGAGGTTGAAGTAAACACTCGACCCTCGCTTTGTTCTCGTAGGTGTTTCTAAATATCCAATTTTGTCGACGGACGTTCGTGTCATTGTATGGACCTTCTTCAGTAAATGCTAGATTGTTAATATCAATAAGTTTGATCAAGGTAGCCGGTAAACATATAACGTGAACAAAGTTAGCTCGGTGGAAGGAGGATAGTGAAATGCGTAAAAAGCTTTGCTAAGTCAACTACCATTTTTCCCCTCCTTTTTTTCCGCTTGAATGACCTAATTCCAGACTCTAAAATTTCGAGCAACCTGACTTTGCTGTTGTATTATAAAACGTTCCTTTTTCCTCTATTCTAATTGGTGTTGTAGATAACTCAAAAACTTGCCTGGATGATTCGAATGTCAAGTCAACTGGAAACCAACTTAGTATCAGTTGAGAGGGTGAAAGAGTATTCTGATGCCCAGGCAAAGGTGGGTAAAAATGAAATCATTGACCATTTAAAACGCGCGAAGAAGAAAAAGAATGAATCTTTACAACTCTTGTAGGACGATTACACGATGCTACCAAATTGAGCAAATTTTCCTGATTGTTTCCTCTGGGTGTAAAGCAATCAATTTCAAGTATTTGCTGATATACGACTTTGGACACATTCAAACGTAATTATTCGTCTAAACAGGTTTGCAAACTAAACCACCCAAGGTTCGAAAATCAAATCTCAAAATTGAAACAGAGCTGTTTGTTTAGAAGACACATGTTCCATTTAAAGTCCGTGAAAATTTTGTAGGCAGTTCTTATGTTCTCTGGAAATTGCTTTGCAAACCAAAGATATTCCAAGAAGCGCAAAACAAATATACTTTCACCAGAAGAACCTCGAAAAAATTTTTAAACCGTTTATTAGTTCTATTCTTCTTTACCTCTGAACATGGTAAGGCGAGGTAGTATTCAAATTTACCACTTCTGTAGATGAAATGTTAAATGATGCATATATATCATTCAATTCACTTTTTCTTCATTTCTAGGCGGAAAGAGTCATTCCTGATAGCCGGCCGTCTCGTGTTTGGCCACAGCAGGGAATAGTCTTATTTGATAACTTCCAGTTGCGATACAGAGAAGGACTTCCATTGGTTCTGAGAAAGATAACCTTTATAATCAAGCCAGCTGAAAAGGTAAATAAATCATAAACAACATACTTTTCTATTTAAAATATCAGTCTTAGCTTGCGCTAGGCATTAATTAAGTCGCTTTTTTTAAAAAGGTCACAAGTACACACAAAAGAATTGTGTTTGTATTTTACTGACTTGTCGTAGGCATTGATTGACATTTGTTCACGCGCTAGCGCGTGAAGTATTTTGATAAATGTATGAGTCACGAAACGACTGAGTGCGAAACGACCGTGGGTACGAAACGAACGTGTTCCTTTAGAGTGAGATTGTTGTTGGTTCTCGTCCTTGCTCCGAGGGTTTTGTTCTGGGCTCTCCGGTTTTCCTCCCTTCTCAAAAACCAACGCTTCCAATTTCCAATTCGACCTGTAATCAATGGACAAGAAGAGCCTCCTTGTGGAATGTCCGCAGCTAAATCCAATTATTATGTTATTTTTATTCTTAATAATAATGACTTTTATAAATCCTAGCAATACTTATCCTGAAATTAGTAGACTTAAACAAGTTCTTCTAACGCTTTAACTTAAAAGGTGACTTGCTGTTTGACTTTAATTTTCACGTTTTAATTGAATACACAAGGAAACTTCCGTTTTTTCAAATGTCTTTTGAAATGCAGTAAGCTATGAAATTTGCTGCGTAAAAATCTTACTCACCTTCAACTGTACAGGTGTTGTTCACTTAGTTGCTATTGTTATCATTATCATTATAATCATTTTCTCAGTGACGAATACAACTTTGTTGAATGCTCGACAGATTGGCATTGTGGGTCGAACAGGAGCTGGGAAATCGTCCTTGGCCTTAGCCTTGTTTCGTATTCTTGAGAGATCAGGTGGTAAAATTGTCATCGATGGTGTTGATATTGCCACCATTGGACTCAGAGATCTCCGTTCGCGGCTTACCATTATTCCACAGGTGAAACATGGGACGCAAACAAACGAGGGGAGGTTTATGGTGATATCGCGATAACAAAATGTTTCCGATGTACTTGAATGCTGCTTTTTGGGAGGGAGGCGCTTGTTGGTAACAATGGAGAGGGAGCCTGGGCATCTTTAGCCACAATTCGTTCGTCCTAGTTTAGGGCTGTTACATCGCTTTTTGGGGTCTTCAAGGAAATTTATGTGTTTTCATACTTTAGCACCTTTGAGTACCGGGACGTCGTTAGTTGAATACGTAGGAAAAATATTGATACTTCGCAATTTTTTTAATTAAATCAATAAAGGCTTATTTTATTTGTTTTACTTTTTGTTTTTATTCCATTCTTATTTAACTTTACCTATAGGAGCCTGTGTTGTTTTCTGGAACTCTCCGTCTAAACTTAGATCCGTTCAATGAACATTTCGATGAAGAGCTTTGGAGAGTACTGGAAGTGAGTCATTTGAAAAGATTTGTGATGAGTTTGAGAGGAGGACTTCAGTATGTTATAGCCGAAGGAGGTGAAAATCTCAGGTAGGAAAAAGGGTGGACTGACAGTGAATTCGTTGGAATGTTTAGTGATACAAGTTACAAGAATACATGCTCAACCTAAAACACGGCTCACGACTTATGAAAATGTAATGCGCGTTTCTCAAAATTCGTTTCAATTATTGTATTTTTGAAAGATGCATTTCGTAGTTAGTGAGTATTGAAACTGCATGGTTTAGAAGAGTTTAGGAAAAAAGAAGGACTCGCGTTGAGGTTCTCCATGAAATTTCAAGCCCCCGGTCAAGAAGCCCTTCAAATCAAGAGGTTCCCGGGAACCTATTGTAGCATAACGGGTAAAAAGTACAGACTCTATCAGCCAACGATGAAATGTCATTTTAAGCTTGGTTTGTATCTTAACCAATTCTTACTTCTTTATAGGTCAAGGTTTTGATTCTCTCCTCTATGGTTTTTGCTTATTCAAAGGTTTATTTTTTTTTATGTTATGAGCATTTAATTGTTTTGTATCGTTACTAAGTTTTCACGTGTTCTCATTTCTAGGCAACGTTTAAAAATTCAAATATATGCATGAAATTTAACCTTTAAAATCCTAAAGCGTGTATGATTTCATCAATCATGAGCTAGCGATTGCATAGCCTTTAAGACTGAAAGGTTCAAGGACATTTTAGTGCAGTTTTGGGCGGTTGGTTTTCTATGGCCAACGCCTTTCACATGGTTCATTTAATCGCTATGGAATTTTTATACGGTATTGCAGTGTTGGCCAGCGACAACTGATTTGTTTAGCGCGTGCACTTCTCCGTAAAAGTAAGATCCTGGTTCTGGACGAAGCAACAGCCGCGGTAGACCTGGAAACTGATGAACTCATTCAACAAACGATTCGACGAGAGTTCGCTGACAGTACGGTGTTCACCATCGCCCACAGGCTAAACACCATCATGGACTATGACAGGTAAAACTCTGTCTAGTGGACCTCGTACAAACTTCAGTGATTGATATTTAACTGAATCGTTGATCTTGAATAACTTAGGCGTGGCGAACTAATTTACATCATTCATTATTCGTGTGAGCTGTCAAGCATCGATTTTAAACAGCAGGTCCTAGTTTAGTCATTTACCTTGACAACAGTTCAAGATTATGACACAAAAAATTGTAAGTTAAAGTGACGGACTTTTTTTTCCTTTCATAGGGTTATGGTTCTTGAAGACGGTTCAATCGCAGAATTTGACGCACCCAGCAAACTTCTGGAACAAAGAGGACTCTTCTATAACATGACCTGTGACGCAAGACTTACAAAGTGACATAATATATTACTTTGGCCTTAGATCGCCCCATTTCTTTAAGACAAGAGAGATACAAAAAACGAAACAACCAGGCAGACTTAAGGTATCTTTACGGTAAGCGATCAGCAGGTTGTTCAAATAGAAAATGAAGAACGAAAGAAGCCGTGGTATGGCGAATTTTACTTACTTTTTAATTTCAAATAAAATGGATTAATTTATCTATTAACAACTTCTTAATGATAAAGAGCTTGAACATTTAAATTTAGATGATTTTCAATCTGTTGTAAATTTTAAAGCATATTTTGGCGCAGTATTGTCTAGTGCATGTGAAGACTCTTTCTGCTATCTCACTCTCTTTATTCCTTCTTTATTTGATTTTCATTCTTAATTGCATTCTATTCTTCTTAAATGTTTCATTTAATATCTGTATATCTACACTTTATGCACATTTTCATGTTACAATATATTTGTTTAAAAGTTTCGCGAAATATGTTCTGACCCGTAATCGGCCGAATTCCGAAGATCCGCAAGAGCTTGCTTTCGACCTTTAAAAAAATTACAAGGCGCATCGGAAGTTCTCTTTCGGTAGCTCTATTCTTTCGGGCACAGCGGTTTACTGAAATGTTGCTTTTATCACGATCGCTTGATTTCGAATCGCGAGATTCTTTTATCTCTCTTCTCTCCTACGTCATCATTTGCAAGGAACTCCTTGAAATTCATTAGTCGTATGAAATAATAACCATTCTACTGATCTCGAGCCATGCATTCCCTGAGCTTGTCAAGTAAGATACCCTTTTCAACTATACTGGATTCGAGTCAGACTTGTGAGCTTTGGTATCGTCTGCATTGATTTTACAGGTTTGATTTGTTGGTCGTTTATAAGAATATGAATACATCAGTTTTAAAGCATTCTCCTGCGCTACTCCTCGCCCCAGCATTTGCCACCTGTTTTAATGCGCTGTACCCTACTATGGAACTTGCCTTCGAAAATAAAAAAAACTACCTGTTGAAGCCATAAGCCTTTAACTACGGCACCAAAAGCTCATGGGATATCGTGTGGGATGCTTTGTTAATTTGAACTAAAGAGTGTTTTTTCTCACTTAGACTAGACCTTTGGTCCAAATGCTTCGTTCATTTTTATTACCAACGGGCCAGATATGACAAATGGAGATTCGTTGATATGCCTCGTCGATGTTTTTCTTGCTTACTTTTGATGTTTAGAATTAAACCTGAACTTAGCCTACTGTAAGAAAGTGGGTTGTTAACGGTATGTGGTGATTACTATTGTTAAAAGACAAAATTGGCATCTAGTAAGAATTTTCATTATAGATGATTTTTAACTTTTTTGATCGTGAAAATAAATGGAAAAAATATATTAGCACAAGCCACTCAATAAAAATTATAATAAGCCAGCTGATCATTTCTTATTCCTTTCGGCGGTCCTATCTTACAGGTATAATTTAGCACGCTCAATGCCTCTTTTACTTAGAGGTGACTTAAAGTGTCAGCATGTGGTACTTTTCCTCTTCCGCACTGAATTTGTAATTAGAGAACTTATACGAGTAGCACGTAGCTCTTTTAAGGGCGGTACCTTGGGTACGCCCTTTCTTCTCCGAATTTTGTGTTTATTCTGCTGTTATGCAACAGCCCTCAAGGACTATTTTCTAGTAAGATATCTTTTCAAGCATGATTTTAATTCTGTTTCTAAGTTTATTATAATTTTTATATTGTCAATCTTGTTTTTGTTTTGTCCGAACTTGACCAGTAAGACCAAGAAATTTAAGTCAGAAAGACATTTCGTAAAGCGTTAGCATCGCAAAGGTATCCACTTAGTATGCGAACTCCGCTCTGCGTAGCTTAGCGTGATTCGCCAGTTAAGTGTAAAAGTATGACGAAGGTTAGAGATTGACAGCTCCGTAAGTGTCACCTCTGTAAGTGGTGACCCACACTTTCCTCGAGAGATCAGAGCAGTCCCCGTTGTAATAACTCGAGTAATAAAAGAAATAGTCAACTGAACAACGAGTGTTAGGAAATTATTTTTAACACTATTACTGCTGTTAAGCAACGATAAATTTCATCCTCTCCTATCGTGAATTCGGTGTAGGTTGAAGCTGTTATGCTACTTCGACGATCAGGTTTTCTTTATTAAGTGAGTTTAATTTTCATCGTTGGAATATGTGGTTGTTTACGCGGCGGTTGCTTTTACTTCTGCGTAGGACCTTTCACTCTCTGGAAACTGCTTTCCTTTATTTTCAATCATTCTCAGTTCTTTTTTTTTCTATGCCAAATTCATGATTGGAAGAGAGTTTCATATTTTAGTTAATCTAGCCCAATCATCATCGTCTTTAATCTCTTCGATACTCTCGCTTTTGGTGGCCGTTCGTGCAAACAACTCTTACTTTCATCTATCGTGTGCAATTCTTCATCAACAAGCTCCTCTTACCAATGGCAGAAGACCATGCCTCAGGTACGTCCCATCTTCTTCAGCTACTCTGTCTTGTTGCTAGGTAAAAGCATTTGTGCGTTATTTTCTCATTTAGTTCAAATTTAAGTCCGCCACTAAGTTTTCCTTGCAATTTTTTATGTTGCTGTTCTTCTCAGTTTCATCAGATCCTAACTAAGCCTTTCGGAGAGTAGGAAAATTTAGGAAACCTAAAGATATGCGGGAAGTGCACCGGGAAAAGTGGATGTGCAATTAGTTTTGAGTATTTTAAGGTACACTATCTTGAGGATAGACTAATGGTTCAAGAAGGAAAAGCCCACGGGCAATCAAAAAGCATTAAAGGTCCACGCTCGACCAGTGTGTTTTTTTGCCCCCTTGTTATTGTTGTTATCCGGGAAGTCGATACGACTTCTCTCAAACCCAAGGAACGGCGAAAAATACCACAACAACAGTAGCTTTTGCCAATGTTTTCATGGCAAAAAATAGAAAAAGAATGTTATCACCCAGAGCATAACCAAACCGACACTTTGGAATGGGTATATTGAAGACTTTTTTCTGTCTGTGGAACAGAAACAGGGAAAAAATAGAAGAATTTGTAAGAGAGGCAAACAGTTACATTCTGTACATTGTACCACGATATAATCACTATTCACGGCCAAAATGTCAGACTCGGAATACATATTCTTGAACACAAAAGTATACGAAAGCATAGGGGGTCGACCCTTGATGTCCAAAAGCATTACAAAGAGATAGAGACCTTCGAATACTTTAATTTTTATTCGTGTCATTCGTCAGGCGCAAAGGATTCGATGATTCAAATCGCACAAGGGACCTGAGGGGTGCATTTAGATCACTTATCACTTCACGTGCACCCCCTCCAATGGCATCAGTAGAATAACTTGCACTTTCGCATAGCTTGCACTCTTAATCCACAGGGTATCAACGAATGCTTTTCATTCAACTAATTTATTCATGTTTTCCGTCTCCATATTCCCACCAATACACAACCCACAATTCCTCCATAATCCCTGACGAAGGGCCAACGCCCGAAACGTTAGCTTTGAAACACTTAACGTTGGCCAATTTACGTCATCAACTCAGTTGATAATACTAAAGCACTAAAGTTTGAAACAACAATACTGGCCTGGTAGCTCAAATGTTTCCCTGTGGAGCGGTACGATCAACGCAGCCGTAGGATCACGACTTCTCATGCACGTATTCAGTATTAGGATCATTGGTCTCAAATTTAGGAAAAAACTGCTCCCAGGAAATTGAAACAGCTGATCTAAAAAATTGTAGCCGTAGTTTCACGACTTCCCATGCAGGAAATTGAAAGAGCTGATCTAACTTGAGGTATCGAGCAATCTTTCTTTGATGAGCTAATGACGCCGTCAGGTACGTAAAGTGTTTTGAAAATACTTATTCATTTTGGTGGAGATAACAGGGAATACGATCTTGAAGGATAAAGCTAGTTTGTCTGCCACAGTGTTTCTTTGTCTCTCAGAAATCATGGTTAGTCTGAAGTCTACGTTGAACGGATAAGACTCCTGCTTAAAAATCATCTTGAAGTCTACGTTGAACGGATAAGACTCCTGCTTAAAAATCATCTTAACATTTCAGTGTTCGAATATCAAATTTGAACGTAAACTGCCATTGTCTTCTACCCAAGATCAGTATTTTTGTTACACATCAGCGTACTAATTCATCATGTCCGTGATACGGTGGAACCTCGATTATCCGGACTATTCGATTATCCGGACTCTTTTCTCTGGTCCCAATTTTTTCATGAATATTAATTAGTTGTGATCTTGAAAACTCAAAGTCGCAAAAAGCCCAATAATTCTTTCACAAGACTATGGAAACAGCATATTATCCTATGCTCTTTTCGAAATTCGTAAGTGCGACGAGACAAAGAAATATCCTGATGCGTTCAGCTGATATCTGATTGGCTCAATTGTTTTGTTGCCAAGGGAATTTCATGCTTGATTAGTTCCTTCCGAGTGGGTTATGAGTGGGTTATGTAAACACACGAGCGATCGAACGTAAACTCAAATAAAAAATAGGTCCGCAATGCGTACTTGTGTGGGATTTCATTGACAAAGTAGTTGCAAGGGGTTTTTGAGTGGAAGCAAAACTATCACTCGCCGTGAGTCAGCGATACTTCAGGGGTGAAATTAGGCCTGGAATCTGTAGTGTGGATAGTAATTTTTGTGCGGGAATTATTTAAGCAAATACAGGAGGGATCTGGGGTATTAACTTATACCTTTATCAAGCGATATGCATTTTCCTCCCTCCCTGGAAGCTTTTTGGCGTGTTAGTGAACGTTTGGTCATCATTTTCAACAGATAAATTACCTCTTAGTGGCTTAGGTTATTTATTTGCTTATACGGCAATAATGGAAATACTTGGAGCAGTAAATATTTTCGTAACATTCATTGAAAAAAATTTAAAAAGTTTCTGCTACTACTTTTTAACTCGTGGATATACGATAGCGTAGAAACGAGTTGTAATGGGCACTTTGGGATATGCAAATTAGCGTGGACTCTTCGTAATTAGTCGGCTTCGAACTCGAGATCTATCCGTCCGAAGAAGTCCAAAGTCCTGGCGCCAATGTGATTGCATTGATCGTTGCGATATTTATTGTCTTTACACGCCTGTTTCGACATTTGCTATATTGAAATGGACTTCGAATGTTTCAGATGAGTGCTATGATCAACTTGAAAACCAAATTTGAAGGGTCTTCGAATCGTCCATGCGCTAAACATAACAAGGACCAGCGAGAATCACGAAGAGTTTGTGAGTGACAGAGCAAGCTGTTGACATGGAAATTTCCAAGGAAACGTGTACCCATGACATAAAAAAAATGTTAATTTGCGGCATTATTTCTTTCTACGCCAATTTGGGGCTTTTCGTTGTAATCGTTTCGCTTTGTTGTTCTTTTATGCAAACATGACTGTTTTGATGGTAAGAATGAAAGATGATCGCTTTCTACAAGTCGTTGCCGAGCACGTGACTATAATCTGGCCGGTGTTGTTTTGATCACTTGACGATCTTTTTCGCTGAAAACACACGATGACTTCCTATTTCAAGGAATGCTTTTCCAATTAATTTCTATCGCATCCGTGTAAGAAAATACAGGTATATGCGTGTTCTGAAAAACAAAAGGGAAATTCAAAACTACAAGAAATTGCGAGTAATCGGCCTCTTCTGCTACACGCGGGTTTTTTTGGTGTAACATGCGTGTTTCCCATAAGTTACGAGCACTTTACGCACGTGGGAATGCTGCAATCACGGTATAGGCAGTGCAAGACAGAATGGTTATTGTCAACCTGGAGTGATTATGTGCGATATTTTGCCTGATCACTCTTTGTAGTAAAGACATCTTATGTAATTACAGAGAAAGCGAATGTGAAGAACAACATCAACGAAAAGAAAGCTTGCCAAATCAGTGAAACGGCTTTTGCGATAGCATAAAACAGGTATTCACTAATATATAGAGCTTCTTAGGAGTTGGTAACGTATTAGTTCGGAATAATTTCAAGTTCGTTTTGGGAGCATCATTCTAAAGCTATGAAGCGAAGAATTTACTGGAAAAGCTGTTTGCGAAAGTCAAAACTTTCGCTGCAAGCTAAGTTTAGGTCGGACACGCCGAATCTCGTATCGTTCTGTCGTCGATGCAACGCTTGTTGGAAATATAAGATTACGTGAAAGTCACGCATGTGGTTGTTTGCTCACTTCATTGATATGTTTGTTTGCTCACTTCATTGATGTTTGTTTGTTTGTAGTTTTTTTTTTGGGTATCCTGGAGTATTTCAGGATGGTCGTGATTTAAATGTAGTTTGTGCAAGTCCCCGAATATTACATTTCGTTCATAGCTTTGTTTTAGCTTTCTTCCCGTGCGAACTACGATTATTATTCATTTAGTGTTGAGAGTTATTCAATTTACTCGCGCCGTAGTCACTGTGCGTAATATTTATCTTTAGCGCTCGCATTTCGCTTTAAAGTGTACCAGATACGACCCATCCGTCCACGAATTTATGATACCCCTCCTTATGGCAAACGAGGTCAGTGAGAGAGAATTGTTTTCAAACTCAAACGTTTATTATAGTTTATTAAAACTTGTCCATACTGTAACAACACTACATTGTAAAATGTAGGAAATGTTTGACATTCGCAAATCTTTAAACTGAGCTTAATGAATTTATAGTAAAACAAAGACGAATTAACTTCGAAAATTAAATTCTCATGACATAAAAACACAACTGAAACCGCACGGCTGGGAACCGAGTGTTGCGTAAACATGAACGAAATAAGTTTCTTTGCATCCGAGTTCAAATAACCAACTTCGAAGTTAAAAAAACAACAAAGAACTACAGAAGAACTCTTAACAGACTGCCTTCAGTTCTTTTATTACTCGAGAGTTCGCATTATACGCGACAGTTATATTGTTTAAGAGTAGCAGCATTTCTGCTATCTCTGCCTCAGAAAACTTAGCGAAGTCTCCCTTAATTACATTACTTAGCACATCCTGAAACGCAGTTAAATGGATTTGTCGATCATTGACATATAAAACTAGTTTTGCACATACATATTGTGAACAGGTAGAAATTCTCATTGTGTGTCCACACCAATCACAGTGTACAACATTACTTGAAGTTCCTTGCAGAATTCTTTTCGCACAGTTGAAGCATGCAATGAATCTTTCTACTTTCTCAATTGTGTGAATATTTGCTACGGTTACTGTCACAGTTTCATTTCGGGACTTCAACTGTTCTTCTGGAATTTGAAGCTGAGAGATTGTTGTATCTGTTACAGGTGTAACAACTGAACTGCGCATGGTTGACAGTTTTTTTGCTTCGTTCCAAACACGTACCTGAATTGGCGCAATCCGTTAGACAGTTCCAATTTTGATCACTGCAATGTTTTCTTCCCAAAGGTCAATTGCGATTGTTCCAGTTGTATCTGCGAAGGTGACTCGTGCCAATCTCAGTTTGTTTCGACCTCCAAGTTCTTGATCGCACATGTGAACGATCTTTCCACAAATGGTTATGCACTAGTCAGTGGAAAGCCCCGCACCCCCATACCCGGGGAATAGCGGGGCATTAGACCAGGCGTCCCAACTAAATGAAGCAAATTCCCCGCTATGCGGGGCAATTTCTTATGTCAAAACCTCATTTTTGTACTCCGCCCCCGGGGCAATACTTGAAAAATCCCAAATACACAACGTTGACCAAAATTAATTTATTTCAAGAATTGTGCCTCAAATTTAACTCTTACAAAAACTTTTTCAATGTCTTCATAAAATAGATGAAACAATCATGGCTTCCTCTACTCCTCTTGGTAAGACATAGTTCTGTAAACTTTTCTCTGGACGTGTAAATGACTAAACTGGAACATGGTGATTCAAGCAATGCATCAACACAAAACAAGTTAAAGATACACCCGAAATTGTAAATTTGGCAATAACTTCCTTTAAAATTGGCAAAAACCACTCCTAAACAGTAATATCAGCTCGGTTTGCACAGTTGCAACGGAAATGAAAACAAGTGCCAAAAGACAAAAGGTCAACGCTCTAAATAAATCGCTAATCAAGCATGACGAGGGCATAAACAATACCCAACTTTTTCTAATTTCACTACAAGACATGATAATATTTAGAGATTGAACACAGAATTTAATCGATGGCCCATTACAAGCATGAAAAGAATGGATTTTAAATCGTACATACCTTCTGGTTGGCGGCCGCCATTTTGAGATCATACGCTTTCCCAGTGTTCTTTGTAGGCCTATTCAAAAGCGAAATCCCCGCCAAAGCCCCGCTAGCCCCGCTAACGGTCCCCGGTCGCTGTTATTTGTGTCTAATGTTGTCGAACACCCCGCACACTGGGGCAAAGATGACCACTAAAAACCGCTAAAATTCCCCGCTAATGACCCGCATTCCCCGGGTATGGGGGTGCGGGGCTTTCCACTGACTAGTGCATTACTTTAACCCAGTCACTAGAAGAATTCAAAATTTGTGCAACTGAAAGGATTGGTGATGTAGCCACTGTGTCCACGGAGTACTGGAAGGAATACTCGGTTTGATCGGGAACAGAAATCTTTGTTATGTCATTGATGATAAGTTTCTTGCCATCACTTGTATGCGTGAATCGCTGAATTTTCACCGGAGTGTGAGACTTTTGACTGTCGCTTAGAAGTTTATGTTTCTGCTTGGAATAAAGCAACGCATCTTGACATCCATTTTCGCTGGTTTGCAACAACAGAGTAGAATAGTAGAGAGTATCTTTCTTATTCCGTTTTGATGGCGATAACTGATGAACGTAGGCAATAACAACATCGTCGGTGGCTTTGGACGGTTCGCTCTCCTTTTTGGAACACTGTTGCTGCTGTGAAATGCAACTTGTCTGCCCGACTTCTTTTTCCATGGAGCTGGAGTCGTCCATCGAAGACAGTGATAATTCCAAAGCACTTGGATGGTCTTTGCTACCACTGGTGTGACTCGCATCACTAGCCGAGGACGAGGATAAGTTGAAATCTAAGGCGCTTGGCTGTTCTATACCACCGGTGGTTCTACTTGTATCTTGGGCGAACAAGGAAGATGGATTTAAGTTATCTGACAGTTTGTCTCCTGCGCTAAAGACGCTTGGATGGCCCACCGGGTTGACAGTTGTTCGGGACTGTTTCGCCGTTTTCTGCTTCGTAACCCTCGCAGGCCTGCTTGTTGACATCCTGATCTGATTGAGTTAACTAAACTGGAGTGTTCGTCGTTTTTATACTCATTTGGAGGATCGAAAATACTGTTTTCTGATTGGCCAAGTAAGTTTGGTGTAGCTTTGTAATTGGCAGATTTCGATATATGCCAGAAATCATGACCATCAAGCGCGCACTCTGCGTGTTGGAATAGGTCCGCAGTGCGTGGTAAACTACTTTACCTGTTTTAATAGGAAAAGGACAATAAAAATTAATGACAGTGAAAGTTTCTGAGAATTAGTTATTTTCAGAAAACAAGGCAAAACAGTTGATGAGATCAAGAATGCTTAATTTGTTACTGTAAGATTGCAAATGGAAGGTAGGGCGAAAAAAAAAAAGAAAGGTTGAGGGGAAGGGGGGGTGGGGAAGGGGTTGCAGACTTGCCTGTGGAAATTTGTTTAATGCAGGGTTGTCAGTAAAGGTTGCTGTTATAAATTAGCCAAAATGCTAAAGGAGCTGCCTTGAAATTTCAACACTGTGTTATATAGTTTATTTTTGTCTTTTGTAAATGGCTGTTAAACTGGACAAATCTTAGAAAGATGACTTCAAACTTAATTTTAAAAGGCCTGTTCTGGTACCAGATGAATAAGCAGCATTTCCTTATTAATAGTTTTGCAAGTTTCTCATTACAGATTCCTCTGAAAAAAGGGAAACAACTCTTTTCATAATGATTTACTGCTTTCTTTTTTGTTGCTTTCTTAACTTAAAAACAATGTACATCATGATAAAATAATTTGTTATAGGACACTGTGAAATGAGGCCCAAACAGCTTTATGATCTGTGAAATATGTTTCTAAAACATCTGCTTGTATATCAATGTTAGATAAATTTGTATACATATGATCAATTATTGTGTTGTTGTCAGTTGTATAAGTTGATATGAGCTGTTTGTAACGTTTATCCCTCACTAGTAGATTATACAAAGGTCTTCTGTCTGTTTCAACAAGCCAATTTATATTAAAGTCTCCAGTAATGATATTTTTGTCTGGTGAAATGTTATTCAATACCTCAATTATTGCTTCACAAAGTTGTCTTACAGGCACGTTTGGGGAGCGATATATCCCTATGATTGTCCAATCCTCAAGACTTGCTAACTTAATTACTGTCATTTCAACACCATGTATATTGTGACAATAGGGGTAGCCAGGTAAGTATGGGATTTTACTGTACACAGCTGTACCACCATGAGGCCTTGATCCATTACTGGAATTAAGGTTATCATTACGGAAGAGAACATAACCAGCAATGTCATACATGTCATTATTATCTTGGGAACTAAATCTTTTTTTCTGTGAAAATATTGATATCAGCACTTAAATAATTTAAGTCTTCACGTATATCTTCTATGTGTCTGTGAAGAGACCTTGCATTAAGATAACACAGTTTAAGAAGGGAAGATGTTATGTCAGAGAGGGGGGAGATGCAAAGCTTAAGTTTTGCAGGTGTTCTTAATCTCTCCATTTCCTTCTTAACATCTGGATTAACAGCAATCTTGCTTTCACACAAATCAGAAATATACAGGCCTTCTATAGCAGTCACTCTACTGAGTCCCACATAATGTATGTGTGGAATAGTATTTCTGGTACTAAAATCCACAACAATTCTACTTTCAGTATCACCTTGTGACCTGTGAATTGTTTTTGCTGCTGCAGGACGCAATGGAAATTGTTTTCTAACAACTTGTGCTGTTTTGTTTCTACCTACTGCAAACTGTGTAGTCACAGGGTTTACTGGGGTCCATGTGTGTTCAATTCCTTGTACATACAAATATCTTTTTTCATTCCTTGTTTTCTGACCTACATCTGAGTGGTCAAATTGTACCCATACAATACCAGATGGTTTGGTTTGTTGATGTAACTGAACTAGTTTAACAACATTTCCAGCACCATTTGTCATGCCATCTTCAGTTCGTATATTCATAACAAGATCTGTTCTTTCACCCTCAGCAAGACAAAGGGTTGAGGCTAACTGTTTTGTTTTTCTTGGATCATTGGGTATTTTTCTTAGTATTTTGTTTCTTATCTCTGGAGACACTATCTTGAGCATTTATTATGAATTTGTTTCCTGTGGCTGCGTTATGAGCCCTTTGATTAAATTTATCTACTTTCGCATTCTGTTTAAATAAGTGAGGTGCATCTATTGGATTGTTGATGTCTTCATGTATAGCTCTCTCTTTAAGTTTTGAAATGTCAGCAGCTGTGTTTTTACCTTCACGCAACCTATTAAGTAGTTCTGCAAACAATTTGCTGTCTCTTTGACGCATGATTTCATTAAGTTCAAACATTTTAAAGTGTTTATGCCATAAACTGGGAGAAAGAACAGCATAATCTACATTTTTGAGGTCTTTGAAAATATAAGCATCCATAACAGGTTCTAATTGGAATAAGCCACCAATAGCAATTATGCTCACACCTCCAAAATCCTCTCTACAGCCTTTTATATCTTTAAGCCTATTGTTTAGCTGTATTGCAAACATACCATTTCCTACCATTGAGATTTCATCAACAAAAATCAATTTAACACCTCCAAACTGACTTCTCAAAGTGTTTAGTCTACTTGAATCAAGCTGTTTGTAATTTCTCAGTGATTGATTGGCAGGAATGGCCAGAGTGCTATGAAGAGTGTTACCCTTAATGGTATATGCAGCTTTACCAGTTGGAGCTAATAGTATAACTTTGATCTGATGAAAATCATCACCAGCTCTAGTGTTATAATACTTAAGCGCTGTCTGATACAAAGCCTTTGTTAAATGTGATTTGCCAACACCAGCCCCTCCACTGAGGAAGCAGTAGAAAGGGGTTTCTGAGGTTTTAATCTGATGCAAAATGTGATAAAAAAATTCTTTTTGCTCTTTATTGAGTGTCTGGATCATTTGACGAAAATCGCAATCAGGTAATTCATTCAATATCAGTGGTTCACTATTCAGCGATGTTGATGGAATGCCAAGATCATCAGAGAGGTCATAGTTTTCACTAAAATCAGGATGTAAATCTTCGGTACCCTCAGCTTCATCTTGCAATTCAAAATTTGTGTGTTTGGTGCTATGGGATCAAACTGCTCATCATTATAATCTGTGTTGTGTAAATCTTGTTCAATCTCATTTAAATCTTCACTACAGACAGCATACTGCATCATTTGTTTATCTATCTGTTCTTTCAAAAGAAGGTAATACTCTTGATATGAAGAACTGTTCCCCATTAAATCAGTTTCTTCATTTCGCCATGAAGTAAAAAGCATAATAAGTTCACGGTAGTGTTTTTCTGATTGAGATTTTACATTGAACCACACACTCCTAATTATTCTGGGTTTTAAATGCTGTTTTGGTTTTCCTGGTTTTCCAACCTGTGTGCTTTCTTTGGCACAGTCAAAGAGTTCATCATCATTGTTTTCATCATCATCTATTGTCTCCAGTGGGAGATTATCCAAATCAGTACTTTTGGATTTTTTCATGAAAGGTTTTTGACAAGAATCATACAATGCGGCCCAATCAGCTAGTGAAATATTCTCAAAACTGGCAGGTCTTTGTTTATACCTGTTTAACAGACCATTAGAGTGAACTTCTTCTGAGTCATCATCCATTTCTTCTATTTCATTCATTGGTTTCAAGAGTTGCACTCTTTCCTCAGGAGGTGTGGTGTTAATAAAAATCACTTGTCTGGAACTTTTTCTCATTGGTAGCTGAAGAACTATGTAAACTGCTTCCTGAGCACTTATTTCAACACTATTTAAAAATTGGTTGCCAATGTCTCTTACTTGTTGCTTTATACTGGAATTTCCTGCTCTGGCTTCATCACATGCTCTTCGTAAGAGCTGACTCATTCCTTTTTGAGATTTTGAAATATATGACACGATATATGCTGCACAAGCATAAACATCTAGCACAAATTGTATATCCATATTTGCCCTCCATGCCTTTAGACAGGCACTGTTATAATTGTTCACTCTTAGTTCATTTGGATTTCTTCTCAAAAATATGGTGGGAGAATTGAGACTTGATTGAATAGCAAGGTAGTAGTTTTGTTCTGTGACATTGAGATTAATCAGCAATTGGTCAAATGTGATGTCTTCACCTTCTTTCATGTCATTTAAATGTTTACTGATGTTTTTCCAAGTGTCTTTGTGTTTTCTAACCTCAGTTTCAGATACATCATCACCAAGAGGATGCAAAATGGTTGTTGACTTCATAGGTGGTTGTGGAAAATTGAACCTGCATTCTGCCTTTGACTTCTTACGACAAGTTTGGCAGTGCCTATGCATCTGTCTATTGACAAGAAGCACTAATTCTGGATCATTATCTGGTTTTTTACAAGTTATTATTTTATCAATAAATGTTGTGACATCACTGTCATTATTGCATCTATACACTGGTGCATCTTCAAGCCAAATTAACATGTGGATGTGAGGAGAGCCTCTCTGTTGATATTCCACTCTGTAAAACCAGTCTGCTATTTTCCCTAGGGGAGCAGCACTGCTCATTAAAAAATGCCTCAAAAATTGATTGAACTGATAATCAAAATGTCGGGCACAAGTCACTGGATCACTCTGAATTAATCTACACTTTTCTTCCCAGTTCAAATTCTCAAGTTCGATATCTGAATATTCTTTATCATCAACAAGCTTGCCAAGAATTCTAAGAAGATGTATCCACTGTGTTTCAGCTGACGAAAAACTACAAAATAAAGTAGCAGGCCCTACTTGTCTGATCATTGCAAAGATATCTTTTTTTGCTTTCTCGAAATAAGGAGGGGAGCCACGAAGTGCTCTTAAGAATCTGTAGCCTTCATCAAGATGAACTAATCTTTCCAAGGTGCCTGGTTACTTTAACTGACCAGCTGTAAGAAATCTATTATTGCCTTTACATTTTCGTAGTGCTATTTGAGATTTTCCTAGCAGAATCTTCATTTGTAATTTTTTAGTTTTAAAAAATATATTCTCTGTAGACATTGCAGCTCGTCTATCTGACCTTCGTAATTCTGATTTGCAAATATGACTGTAATGAACATCAACTAGTCTCTGTTCATTTTCTGGCCTCTTTTGACCTAGAAATATTCCTGGATAGGCTAAATCTTCAGAATATTTGTCCCTAAATATACTCAAAGGTACACTTCCTTCCCCAGGGGCAATGTTGTAAATTTGTTGTCGTTCATTGTCATCAAGAAAGTCAGTTGCAGTTAACATAGTATCGGTTACTCCTGAAGGTATTTCTGCATCCTCTTCAGTCCAGTCATCATGAAATTCACTGGTTTCTTGGCCTGCAGTCTTTTTGATAGCATTACATGTACCACTTATTTGTTCATTGTAGCTGGCTTGAAAAGCATCTTCACTCTCAGTTTCATTTTGCAAGTATATGTTACAATTTGCCATCTTGTCTTTACTAAAAGATATTCCCTGTTCCCTATAAAGATTACTGTTAGTAGCCAGCCAGTTTGCTGCTTGTAAGATTTTATACGGTCTTACATTTAAGGACAGTGCAGAACTCTTATACTGTAATCGTCTCTTTAACTGAACTTTTATTGTGCCACTTTCCTCAGGTAACCGTGGTAACACATTAACAGTATTGTTAACATCTGCTGGTATGTTCACAACATTTCCTTTTATTTTCAACTGATTTCCTCTTGGGGCTTTCATAAGCTTTTGGAAAGCTAATCTAGGTGCTAGAAGTCTGCACTCTAACTTGTTTAAATAAAAAAAGTCTGGTTTCACTGGAAAGGTCATTCCATTCATAACTGCACAAGGTGGTATTTTGTTTTTCTTCAGATTTTTATCACAAGACTGACAAATCCACTCAATGTCATTGACACTTTTTTTACTCAGCAAATATTTTCCTGCATTAGGATTGGAAACTCTCAGCCTTTCAGCCTTAACAACACTGTGTTTATACCACAATTGGTCACAGCAAGAACAAATGTACAGTGGACCTCTAGAAACAGCCACATGAAATTTTCGGATTTCATTAGCAATGGTTAAACTATTGGAAATATTTTTTCTATACTCTTGATGTGTTTGCAATCTCTTTTGCCTACATTCAACAGATGCATTTGCAATTTTTTCTTTCTCATACTGACGTTGATTTGCCAGTCTCTGTTGTCTACATTTGGCAGATTCATTTGTAATTTTTTCTTTCTCATACTGACGTTGATTTGCCAGTCTCTGTTGTCTACATTTGACAGATTCATTTGCTTTTCTTTCTTTATCATACTGACGTTGATTTGCCAGTCTCTGTTGTCTACATTTGACAGATTCATTTGCAATTTTTTCTTTCTCATACTGACGTTGATTTGCCAGTCTCTGTAGTCTACATTTGACAGATTCATTTGCTTTTCTTTCTTTATCATACTGACGTTGATTTGCCAGTCTCTGTTGTCTACATTCAACAGATTCATTTGCAATTTTTTCTTTCTCATACTGACGTTGATTTGCCAGTCTGTGTTGTCTACACTCAACAGATTCATTTGTAATTTTTTCTTTTTGATATAGAGATTGACTTGCCAGTTTTTTTTTTTGTCTAGATTCAACAGATTCACTTGCACAACTCTTTCTCTTATTTTTGCGCTGTTGTGCCAACCTCTTTTGCCTAGATTCTTCACTTTCATTTGCCTTTCTCTTTTTCTCATATTCACGTCGGGCAATCAACCGTTTTTCCCTTATGTCTGCTATTTCACTTGAACACTTTCGCTTTCTGTTAACAAGCTTTTTTGGATTATTTTTGTCACTTGAAGGTGACTCTTCACTCTTCTGACTGTTTTGAACACTTTTCAAATCAAGTTGACAATCACTGATTAAAACACCTTTGATTTCAAAAGGAACAACCCCTACTTCTGAGCAAGACATTTGCAAATATGACACAATGTTTTTAAGGCCTTCAATGCTCAGCAAAGTACATTTCCCAAATGAATGGGCATGCCATAAAAATCTTTTGAATGAGAGTCAAAAATCTTAAAGCTTTGTTCAGAATTTTAAAACACTGCAACAGTATTGTTTCCAACAGTTAACAAACAACAATGGTAGTTTAGTCCAGAATTTGAAAATACTTCCATCAGTGAATTTTGAAGAGACATGTATGGGCCATTATTTGATGTCATGAACAAACTTCCAGTTAATGACTCACTGTATTGCAATGTACACACTTTGTTGTAAAGTGAAACAGCACATGGAACATCAGTTAACAGCAAATAATCATTTGCCTGCACGGAATATCTTATAGAAACATATAGATTATTTCCAATGGTCAAAATATTATTCAAAGTGGAAGAAGTCCATTCATTGATATGTTCTACTTGATGATAAATAATAGCAGTAAGTGACATTGCTACACATTGCTTACCAGCATTTTCACCAAAGAGTGCTTCATTTCCTTGACTGAAGTCTGCAGACGCTGTTATCAATGGGTCAATGATATCAAATATCGTAGGGCCAGGATTTTCCTTAACATCATTTGCTTGTCTTATAAGCAATGGAATATAAACATTGTCGCACATCATTTGTGTAAACCAAAACATCACTTGATTCAACATTTTGTATTGTATAACAACTTGTTTCAGTGTCGGCAAATAAAACACATTTAAATAAAACGTCATTAGCATTATATTCCAAAACCGATCCTTAAAACGCGATGAGGCATCCTTTGTTTTCACGAAATTGTCATGGGATCCGATCCTTGAACGGAATTGTTCAATAGAGATCCCCATATTTACTTGTGTTCTTGAGCGAGCAACAACAACAATCCAATAAACTAGAAACTCAGTTTATTAAAATAAATAACGCTCTTGACAGTTCTAGGCAAACAATAGTTTCTTTCAGTATGTGACACTTTGAGACACTCGTGAGACACTTTGAGACACATTGAGACACTTTGAGACATCTGAGACTCTTTGAAGTGCAACCCGCACAAATATATTCAAGCCGACAAATGTTGGCTTGCGAGAGTACAATAACTCCTTTCAATCTGGCACAACCCGCACCGAAGGTCCAAGCCGATAAATGTTGGCTTGTGAAAGCGTAAAAGCTCCTGTGCAACCTGCACTGAACACACGCCGCGTTTCAGCGTGTTGGCTTGCGTGAAAAAATCTTCTGTTATAAACACCTGAAGAAATAACGAAATAAACGCCTCAGATTATGAAAGAAAGAACACAAACCAGGTGCACAAACGTAATCGCCTTTCGTGAGAGGTTAATCGTGAAGCTCCCACAACAAAATTGAAAAGTTAAAGCACGCAAAGAACGCGTGAAAATAGAAAATGACTTATCCTTACCTTGGAAACAAAAATCTCCAGGAAACAATTATGAAATTCCGTATAAGTTCTCCAAAACCCAAAATCTGAGAAGAGAAATGGCCGCCGTAAAATACACAGTGAAAAAACATCTACTGGAATCCAGTCTTCACGGCTCAGATAGAAACCACGTGACAAGCACTTCTATCTCGTGGACAAATAAATAAAGAAATAAAGAAATAAATTTCGCGGGCCTTGACAAAGTGTGGGAAATCCCAAACAAAAATATGCCAACGAAGCAAAATCGAGCCGTTCTATCGATTAAAGATAAGCAGATAATTATTTCACATTTTCTATCTCATTAATATTCATATTTTTTATTATCCGGACTCTCGATTATCCGGACTATTTACCGAGGTCCCGACGAGTCCGGATAATCGAGGTTCAAGGTTTTTTGTAACATAAAAACAAGAAATTATATTAAATTTGATGCGTTTTCGGAAGACCAATACGTGTCAAACGCATGAAATTATGATACTTAACCTTTTTGACAGGTTTCGTCTTGTACAGCCAATCAGGTTATTTGAACTATTATAACAACGATTCTGATTTGCTTATTGCTTAATTGACTTTGATGCGTTTCCAGAAGACACATGAAATTATGATACTTGATCTTTTTGACAGGTTTAGTCTTGTACAGCCAATCAGGTTATTTGAAGTAATATAACAACGACTCTGATTTGCTTATTGTAGCGTGAAAACGTGGTACTATAAAAACAGGTTATTCCTAAATTCGTAACCGACTACCATGACTTCTCATGGATGTCTTCATGCATTAGGATCATTGCACTCAAAGTTAGTAAGAATTTGCTCCCCCAAGGAATTGAAATAGCTGATCTAACTTGTGATATCGAGCAATCTTTCATTGATGAGCTATTGACGCCATCAGGTAGGTAAAGTGTTTTATTCGTTTTGGTGGAGATAACAGGGAATAAGATCTCTTAAGGATAAAGCTAGTGGTAAAGTTTCCGCACAGCCCCGTACTATCGTAAAACAAATCTGTTTTACCAATGGAAATGTATCGTTGTTTCCTCTGTTCAAGAACTGAATGCATAATGTAGGATGGGGCTGTGCGGAAATTTTACCAATTTTGTTTGACTGCCATAGTGCTTCTTTGTCACTCAGAAATCATGGTTAGTCTGAAGTCTACGTTGAACGGATAAGACTCCTGCTTAAAAATCATCTCAACATTTCAGACTTCTCATGCATGTCTACATGCATTAGGATTATTGTACTCAAAGTTAGTAAGAATTTGCTCCCCCAAGGAATTGAAATAGCTGATCTAACTTGAGGTATCGAGCAATCTTTCTTTGATGAGCTAATGACGCCATCAGTTAGATAAAGTTTTTTGAAAATGCTTATTCATTTTGGTGGAGATAACAGGGAATAAGATCTCTTGAAGGATAAAGCTAGTGATAAGCGATTTCGTATAGTGTTCACTTCATTCCTTTCTGTCTGTTTTTATTATGCTCAACCGGATGTCAGCGAGATACTAAATGGTTTATAGGTTATCGCTTGTTTACCGCTTGGTTGTTACCCTCGAGGGGTGCGGCTTGCTCATATCTCCACGATTTTGGCGAGAAAGTGTTTTTCGCGATTTCAGCAGGGAAATTATGAAAATAGGGCATTAAATTTCGTGATTAAAAGTGCTCTCAACTCCATTACTTATTTAAATATTTCTTAACTTTTAACGACTGCACAAAAGATGTCCTAAGAATTTGTACGAGTCTAACGATTCAGATAAAGATGATACTTAGATTGTCTTCTCTATTTGCAAATAAACTTCATTTCGCGACAGAAGATTTAAGATAGACCTTACCAGTGAACCTACATAATAATTTGTGTATTTTTCAATACATTTCGTTCGCGTTAATGAAGTTCATGGAAGTGCTAATGAACGCATATTTGCCATATAGCTTCAACTGTTGACGTAAATGAACGTATATTTAACGTACATAAATGAACAGCAAAAGGTGTATTTCATATTTTTAGAGACAAAACAATTTTTTTTTCTCTCGCACCGCGCTATTACGGACATTAAATCTTCCCCCGAGGGTGTCTGCAGTAGCTGGAGTCGACTGCACAATAATATATATTGTCTTCACTCAGTTTCAGGTAGTATATAAAAAACGTGTGCGAGATTTTTGATCGTTTATTTTATTTGCTTCGAGATGATTGGATACTACGACCAAACCCGAAGCAAAAAAGCTTAAACTACCTATATTAATTATCACCCAAATCGTAACATTATTGTCACGTTCTTTTCATTGGTTGTTTAATTTTGGACGTCATTATCAGCTAACATTCATCTGTTGTCTCTTTGGGGTTTCTAGCGGGAATTCAAAGTTGCATGTGACGAAATACTCCCCCCTCATTGGCTGATAACCTCATGAATAATTACTGAGTTTGAGAAACCCAAATGAAAGTTTGTAATACTGAATGGTTATGAGCACTAATACGCAGAAACCTGGTTCCACTCTGTCCATTGCAGAAATTGGCCAACTCACGTGGTAGAAATTCGACGCCTTCTCTTGGTCTACTTTTTTTGGCGGGTAAAGATTTTTCTATTCTAAATTTTGATAATCGTGATACAATTTGGTGATAATTTAAGCTCATCACTGGAAAAGCATAGAACATCTTTTCTAACTCCAGAGTTTTTTCTAACATTAAACATTACTGCTAAATACTTTAGATAACAAAACGGCTGGTATAAAAAATCCTAGAGGAACAACGAGGTAATAAAGAAAAATAATTAAACTTTCTTTATATCATTCAAAAGGTTTACTTCTTTAGCATTTTTACTGTGTTTACTAAAAAATATATTCTTTATCCTCTTTACAAATTCTGGTTGGCAAATTGATTTCGACACAAGCTACTCAATTATTAAAAAAATCGACATAAATCGAAAAAATTACTACTGAAACTGTTATGAATAGTTGAGTTCTTGACAAGTAAATGACTGTCAATTATGATGTTGTTTTTCAGCAAATCTTTTGGACCATTTAATAATTCAGTTGTTTTAAACCAAAAATTTAGATTAACTTCAAGGTATTCCTCATATCTAGAAGCTGAATGATGATCATGGGTTTATGTATATCATATGCAAGAGGACCTGTCACAAATATAAAATATATTCGGTAGAAAGGGCATTAAATTTGATCATAGTTTGACGGTATGGCGTTGAGGAACCTGTGCTCAAGGAACAATATCAGCATATATTGTCTACTTAATGGAGAGAAAACAAGAGAGCTTACTTTGCCTATAACTATGCTTGTGGCATTTATCGAGTTTGCACGCTCGTTATTGTGTGCAAAAGGCTCAAGGTGGAAAAAAATTGTGAATCCTTCAAAATTAGAAAACTTACATATTGACATCTTTATCGCGAGCGACAGCGGAGTAGAGATAATCGATTCAAACGTCAGGAAATGTAGTGAAACTGTGAACCCAATAATTGGTATTTCGCTGGCTGTACCTTTTGGATAACAATCTTTTCAATGATCGGGTTATAAGGGCATTTCGCAGAGATTAAGCTGAAATTATGGTGCACGAGCTTACACCTATAAAATACAAATTATAAAAGATGACACAAAAATTATGCAGCTTGCATATTTTATCTAGAAAAAGATCAAGAGAATAAGCTATTTCAGTATGTTTGAAAGGCAACATCGATAGCATTTTGTTTTCTGACATTGCTGCAGAAGAAAAAATGATTAAGCTGCATCTAAGTGAAGTCAAACTAAATTAGATTCAAAGCTCATAATTTTTAATTTTCAAATAATTTCCATTGGCATCAGCATAGAATAAGCAATTCTATATTGTAGAAAAATACAGTTATATGCTACCAGTAATCAATGTACTTGTAATTATACATGCATTTTCCACATATAGTGCAGGAGGTTTCGTCTCTATGACACATAACTTGACTTAGGAAATCGTTATTTGTTTACTATTATTTTACTATTTATCTATTGAAATTTGGAGTTTGTATGGACCTTCATCGGTGGCCAAAATATTTAAGCTCGAAGTCGACTAATATACATGTAATCCAGTACACAAATTTCAAAGTTTACAAAAATATTTAATATTTCCCATTGCTTGTTGCTTTACTCTCATAAATTGTTCCTTTTTTCTTGCAAATTGATCGCTGCTTCCACTGGCTTTTAATGGCTACTGCTAGGCT